CTCAAACATTATTTGTGTTGTCAGATTTAGGTGTTTTACAGCAAGGATGTACTGAGAGTTGGAGAGAAATATGCTATTATACCTCAAACTTTATTTGTGTCTTAAGATTTAGGTGTTTTACAGCAAAGATGTACTGAGAGTTTTAGAGAAACATGCTATTATTCCTCAAACATTATTTGTGTTGTCAGATTTAGGTGTTTTACAGCAAGGATGCACTGAGAGTTGGAGAGAAACATGCTATTATACCTCAAACATTATTTGTGTTGTCAGATTTAGGTGTTTTACAGCAAAGATGTACTGAGAGTTGGAGAGAAACATGCTATTATACCTCAAACATTATTTGTGTTGTCAGATTTAGGTGTTTTACAGCAAGGATGTACTGAGAGTTGGAGAGAAATATGCTATTATACCTCAAACTTTATTTGTGTCTTAAGATTTAGGTGTTTTACAGCAAAGATGTACTGAGAGTTTTAGAGAAACATGCTATTATTCCTCAAACATTATTTGTGTTGTCAGATTTAGGTGTTTTACAGCAAGGATGCACTGAGAGTTGGAGAGAAACATGCTATTATACCTCAAACATTATTTGTGTTGTCAGATTTAGGTGTTTTACAGCAAAGATGTACTGAGAGTTGGAGAGAAACATGCTATTATACCTCAAACATTATTTGTGTTGTCAGATTTAGGTGTTTTACAGCAAGGATGCACTGAGAGTTGGAGAGAAACATGCTATTATACCTCAAACATTATTTGTGTTGTCAGATTTAGGTGTTTTACAGCAAGGATGCACTGAGAGTTGGAGAGAAACATGCTATTATACCTCAAACATTATTTGTGTTGTCAGATTTAGGTGTTTTACAGCAAGGATGTACTGAGAGTTGGAGAGAAACATGCTATTATACCTCAAACATTATTTGTGTTGTCAGATTTAGGTGTTTTACAGCAAGGATTTACTGAGAGTTGGAGAGAAACATGCTATTATACCTCAAACATTATTTGTGTTGTCAGATTTAGGTGTTTTACAGCAAGGATGCACTGAGAGTTTTAGAGAAACATGCTATTATACCTCAAACATTATTTGTGTTGTCAGATTTAGGTGTTTTACAGCAAGGATGTACTGAGAGTTGGAGAGAAACATGCTATTATACCTCAAACATTATTTGTGTTGTCAGATTTAGGTGTTTTACAGCAAGGATGCACTGAGAGTTGGAGAGAAACATGCTATTATACCTCAAACATTATTTGTGTTGTCAGATTTAGGTGTTTTACAGCAAGGATGCACTGAGAGTTGGAGAGAAACATGCTATTATACCTCAAACATTATTTGTGTTGTCAGATTTAGGTGTTTTACAGCAAGGATGTACTGAGAGTTGGAGAGAAACATGCTATTATACCTCAAACATTATTTGTGTCATCAGATTTAGGTGTTTTACAGCAAGGATGTACTGAGAGTTGGAGAGAAATATGCTATTATACCTCAAACATTATTTGTGTTGTCAGATTTAGGTGTTTTACAGCAAAGATGTACTGAGAGTTGGAGAGAAACATGCTATTATACCTCAAACATTATTTGTGTCATCAGATTTAGGTGTTTTACAGCAAGGATGTACTGAGAGTTGGAGAGAAACATGCTATTATACCTCAAACTTTATTTGTGTCTTAAGATTTAGGTGTTTTACAGCAAAGATGTACTGAGAGTTATAGAGAAACATGCTATTATACCTCAAACATTATTTGTGTTGTCAGATTTAGGTGTTTTACAGCAAGGATGTACCGAGAGTTGGCGAGAAACATGCTCTTATACCTCAAACATTATTTGTGTTGTCAGATTTAGGTGTTTTACAGCAAGGATGTACTGAGAGTTTTAGAGAAACATGCTATTATACCTCAAACATTATTTGTGTTGTCAGATTTAGGTGTTTTACAGCAAAGATGTACTGAGAGTTATAGAGAAACATGCTATTATACCTCAAACATTATTTGTGTCATCAGATTTAGGTGTTTTACAGCAAGGATGTACCGAGAGTTGGCGAGAAACATGCTCTTATACCTCAAACATTATTTGTGTTGTCAGATTTAGGTGTTTTACAGCAAAGATGTACTGAGAGTTTTAGAGAAACATGCTATTATACCTCAAACATTATTTGTGTTGTCAGATTTAGGTGTTTTACAGCAAAGATGTACTGAGAGTTATAGAGAAACATGCTATTATACCTCAAACATTATTTGTGTCATCAGATTTAGGTGTTTTACAGCAAGGATGTACCGAGAGTTGGCGAGAAACATGCTCTTATACCTCAAACATTATTTGTGTCATCAGATTTAGGTGTTTTACAGCAAAGATGTACTGAGAGTTTTAGAGAAACATGCTATTATACCTCAAACATTATTTGTGTTGTCAGATTTAGGTGTTTTACAGCAAAGATGTACTGAGAGTTATAGAGAAACATGCTATTATACCTCAAACATTATTTGTGTCATCAGATTTAGGTGTTTTACAGCAAGGATGTACCGAGAGTTGGCGAGAAACATGCTCTTATACCTCAAACATTATTTGTGTTGTCAGATTTAGGTGTTTTACAGCAAGGATGTACTGAGAGTTTTAGAGAAACATGCTATTATACCTCAAACATTATTTGTGTTGTCAGATTTAGGTGTTTTACAGCAAAGATGTACTGAGAGTTATAGAGAAACATGCTATTATACCTCAAACATTATTTGTGTCATCAGATTTAGGTGTTTTACAGCAAGGATGTACCGAGAGTTGGCGAGAAACATGCTCTTATACCTCAAACATTATTTGTGTTGTCAGATTTAGGTGTTTTACAGCAAGGATGTACTGAGAGTTTTAGAGAAACATGCTATTATACCTCAAACATTATTTGTGTTGTCAGATTTAGGTGTTTTACAGCAAAGATGTACTGAGAGTTATAGAGAAACATGCTATTATACCTCAAACATTATTTGTGTCATCAGATTTGGGTGTTTTACAGCAAGGATGTACTGAGAGTTTTAGAGAAACATGCTATTATACCTCAACATTATTTGTGTCATCAGATTTAGGTGTTTTACAGCAAGGATGTGCTGAGAGTTATAGAGAAACATGCTATTATAACTCACAGGGAGTTTCGTAGACAGTTTAACCCCTGTCATACATGGGCCTAGTCACTTTTCTAACATGCAATCTCTTGATTTGAATAAACACTATACAGTCACAGCACTGGAGGGACTAAATATGGAATTAATGATGCTAGACACGTCCCCTATATGTCCTCATCCACCTCTCCAGCAGTTATTAGAGTGTGTAGGTGTGTGGTTTATCATGAGAACCTTGCAAGTAGAGAGTTGGACTTCGGAACGGTGATCTTTGCCATTTTGAAAGATGTTTTTTAAGAACTTCATTGACCTCTGTAATAGTGAAACTCAGCAGAATGATAGGGGATATTTGTGGAGTGTTTTGAAAGAGCATTTGTTCATCACAATACCGGCAAGTTTGTGAAAGTTTTTTCGCAAGACAAAATGGCGCTGTCTTGAGTGTTGAACGGCAGGTGCGCTGTCTGTTTGTGTGTTGAGTTTTCAAATTTGGCTTTGAAATCGTCTCCGATGTTGTGACAGAAGCCAGTACAATTATATGGAAAACATTGGAGAAGGTTACATTAACATTAAGGAATCCTTGTGATTCACCTTTCATCGTTGTGATCTTGTTGCGAGGACGTGGATGTTTGTTAACCCCGCTGGCTGATATTGATGGAACCTCTTGATTGAAGAGAGACAGGTTTGCAAAGACAGCAAGTTGGAGGTGTTTCCTGAATTTGGTTCCTCAAGAATTGGAAAAACTTGTTAAATCTGTACTCGGATTAAGATTGAAGTAATTTGGCCTCCTTCAAAAACAGTGGTTGCCATGGCAACATTAGTTCTTTTGGCTATGGATTTAAAGTAAATGACTTGATTGGGGATGATTTTCACATGTGATTATAGGGCAGAGCGGGGTATGACACATTGTGTGGACAGTGGGACACGGGGCTGTGTTGTGTGGCTGACAGGACACACAGCCATTACCTCATCTTGGTGTTGCACTCTCAGTTTCCGCCCAGGGACATGGAGCAGTATGTAAATGTAGAAATGTCATAAATTCAATTTACAAAAGTGGAATCTCATTGTGGGGGATAATTTGCGTGGTTGATGAGTTAGTTGAAGTTAAGAGCTGCGCTGATGGAGGCCTGACACTGACACCAGGGTAGGATTCGGAGGATTGCGATTGGACGTTCTGGTGTTTTGTGCTGATTTGTGTTGATAAGACGAGAACTGTGAATATTGACTTGTGTTTTTCACAAAGGACAACAACTAGTTTATCAAATAACATTGTTAATAGAAGACAAGCTTCACTCTGACGGGACTTATTCTTCATGTTGGACAGTGTTTTGCTGAATTAACACTTTGTTAACTTTTGTAGCATTTACAGAGGTTATTTAAAGTTTGGTGCTAGCATTTCGTTCCAAGAATTTGTTTTGTGCCGTCTTTGCAAGCCCGCGACCTCGGGCCGAATCACAGATTGAGAGGAGAACAATTAGTTCGTCAAACCCAAACGATTTAATAAGATATGGCACCAGATGTGTTAGTTAGAAATCAATATGTTTAATCTGTGCCAATTCCACACCATTCTTGGATGAAAGCGTGAATGAAAATTTGTCAACTATTGGATTCTAGAACCATTTGTCTTCATAAACTGCTCCAACAGTGCCAGAGGATACGGAAGCAATACACAAGGGATCATCGGGGTGATTAAACAATGCTAGGGAATACGGAAGAGATACTCAGCAGATATTCCCAGTGAACACTCTCCGGCTCAGTTGGGCTAAGACTGTCTTAAGAACAAGCTGATCAGCCTGAGCGATTGAGTGGGTGGTTGAGATTGGGAGTTGTGTACAGGGTGTTGGGTACAGCAGACATGGAAGTGTTGGTGGTGTGTCTTGTCCTCACCTTCTCCTCTCTCTCCTCAGCTCAAGGATGTGCCGATGACCAGTTTAAGTGCAAGTCTGGAGAATGTGTACTCGTCTTCCAAGTTTGCGACAATCAGATTGACTGTCCGGACGGGAGTGACGAGGACAACTGTGGCAATTCAGGAGGTATGTTTTGTAAAATCATATTCACATTTCAGGAGTGTTTTTGTGTGTCAATATTGATAACTATATTTCATTCGCACACGTTGACTTCTAACCAGACTAACTTATGCGCTTGTGCTCTTAATTCCGCGCCCACACACAGGGTTACTCTAAAAGTAGGATCTTGTGTAATGAATAAATGTATTGTTTTGACATATTAAGAACTATGCAATATCCCCTAACTGACAAGGTCTCTCTTGAAATATATATATCATAGACAATGTAACAATTATAATGGTACTTAAATATTTGGACTAACTTCTCGAAATCTGCAGCGTTTAGTCAAGATATGTCTCGGTTTATATTCATTAGCGCTTTTTGCAATATATTCTCAGGATACGTATGTCTATGCAGCTAGATAACGAGACAGCTGCTAGTAATATTTATTTTGTCACGCAAGACCGCTCCCAGCATGTCAGGTTATTACTCCATGATTTTCCTTCTCTCAGCAAACCTGACATCCCCGCTGTATTAAATACCCCTCTCTGTGTGAGTCTCACGACAAAGTCAAACAATCTAATCTTAAAGCTAACAGGTCCATTATCACAAGAAGTGAAAAGCATACCACTTTTAATATAAAAGGGTTCTATTTCCAACTTTAACTAGTTATATGCATAAACACTGGATATCCTGAAATGTAGCCAATGTTTAGATTAATATTTTAAAGGTCCTTTCCTCTTAAACGTATGTTTTTGCAAAGAATATTGTTCTAGTGCTGCAATGCAGAACATAAAATTGTGATGAGAAATATCAAGACATTCATATGGCCTGCGATCGTTCACATTGTTCTTTCGATTCAACTTTACACCATCAGTTTTTAACTAATAGCTAAACGAATTGAGCAAAATGAGTAATTTGTAGATATGTTTCTTACCCATTTACTGTGGCTGAGGAAATGTTTGGAAAGTTTAATCATGTTGAAGAATGTCGGTATTTCATTTGTGTGGGAGATAGTCAGGCTGAGTCAGGAGGGGTCGGCTATTCCTGTAAGATGAGATGGGAGAAAGTCGGTTCTGGATGATTCAGTACAAATAATATTTGTCTTGCTTTTCTAAATAGCCAGTCATAAATTATTATTCTCCATGTACTTTTTTTCAATTCAGTTCAAATATTGACCTAAAGATATTAGACACTCAGCTTAGATCATTCACCATGTATAATGTCCTTGAGATTTGTCCTTGAGATGGAAAGACTGTCGTATAAAAAAAACTTGTAAAGAGGTTACGAGGGTGAGTAATTTTGAAATACCTACTTACACTGGTTGACTGGCATACATTTCTTCTGTATGTGAGTCAGTGGAGAGTTGTGTGTAGTCACATCCAACAGTGTACTTGTAAACAAAATCCTACATAATAGTTCCTTAATAATTAATATTAACTAGCATATGAGTCGGTGGAAACACAAACCCACAAAGTAAAACTCCGATCACACTTTGGATACTTTTGCATTACCATATTCGACGTAATAAGTGCCCCGCTCTAATAAGTGCCCACAGCGATATTTGCTAATATATTGGCTAGTGAACAATCCCAATTAGCACCCCTTCCAATTGATCAATGTACACAAGACTTATTTATTCGTGTATGATACACACTTTTGTCTTATATGCACCCTTAATTATGGGCAATCAAATTCTGGAAAAATATATCTGTCTTATATAAACATTTCAGGCTGTCACCGTAAACCACAAAATTTATCTTTCAATTCTCTTTTCTTCACCAAAATAATATTCTAATAAGAGGCCGGTATTTCTAATTTTGAGAGCGCCCTGGGCACTTATTACGTCCAATACGGTCTATCATGTGGGTACGTGGTTGTTTGCTTGGGGAATTGGGGATTTTTTATCTCAAATTTCGAATTTGTACTGACAAAGTTTCTCATCACCCGTTCGTTTGCCGGACTTCGCTGCAGGGTACAGTGTAATTTTTTTTTGCGCATAATATTCAAATTTCTTTTTTTCCAAAATATTGAATCCGCTAGAGGGGTGTGCGCATTATACATGGGTGCACACTATACTCAAGAAAATACGGTATTATATCCCTTATTGATAGGCTCCATGGTAAAATCAAATCATTATACAAAGCCAATGCTTAAGTCCGCATTATGGTCTATTTCATTATCATTTACTGACTCTAATCAATAAATATTCACTATCTGATCACTATTCAGTTTGCAAATTTCTTTGAATAATTTTGCATTGTTATAAATAAACCACGATCCATGTTGATGAACTTTCTTTTTATTAATTGATAGACAAAAAAAATACACGATGTGACTGAATTGGTAAAGGTAAATAAGCATCATTTTGGTCAATATGCCCCAGACAATTTTGTTTGGGAAAGTATGTATTGTATAAATGTAAATATTGATTGAGTGATAAGAGCGTAGGCTTTGTGGTTAATCATATGGTCTGGTTTTACCCGTTCCCCACTTCGCAAATATTACCAGTACGATATATGAAACACTCATTAAAAAAGCTCTTAGCAGTGTTATACACCCCTATAAAAAACGATAAACATCTATATGATGACGAGATTGCAAACCATAACATCATGTAGACAAATGTGAAATGTAGGTGACAAGGATCAGATAAACACAACCACGCAAATATCGGCAGAAACAGAAGGCACCAACTGTCTGTGAACACTGCTTGGGCAGCCTCGTAGTCTATTGCACCACAATGAACTACTGTGCTGCTCTATCTTAGAACAATGAAAACATATTATTATAACTCTCAACCCAAAACTAACTCAACTTTTCAAAGATAATTTCCTAAATTCTGAACAAAATGCTTCTCTATTGCAGGTGAATACCAATACATTTTACTTTAAACTTTTAGGTATATGCTTTTTCCACTAAAGCATCCGAGCCAAACAATATTAAAATAGACTTGGAGTCATACCACAAGCTAGAAGACCTTGGATAACACATGGCCTTACATCATATTCTCTGTCAGAATACCAGTAGTATATTTTGTATCTTGCCAAGTAGCTGACTGGTGGCGCATATTGTATTTAACAACAATTTGTTCTCTTTTCTTCCATTCTATTATGTCTTAATGTTCCTACTTTTTATGTTTTCAATCAAATCGGACACAACATCTTCCATTTTAGACAATGTGGGCACAGCTAGGCTTCAATTTGTAATGTATGCAGCTTTGAGATTTGCCAACTACTGTATTCAACATAATAGGTGCCCAGGGCAATCTCAAAATTAGAAATAAGGGGCTCTTATTAGAATGTAATTTAAGTGAAAAAGTAAAACAGTTGAAAGATCGTAAATTTCGTGGTTTATGCTGACAGCCTAAAATGATACAAAAGAAAAATCTGTGTGTATTATACACGACAGATATATTTTCCAGAATTTAATTGCCCATATTAAGGGTGCATATAACACACAAGTACGTATTATACCGAATAAATAAGTCTTGTGTACATTGATCAATTGGAAGGGGTGATAATTGGGATTGTTCACTAGCCAATATATTAGCAAATATCACCGTGGGCGCTTATTAGAGCGGGGCACTTATTACGCTAAATACGGTAATAAAGTTGTTGCAGCTTGTAAGCTTGTTTGAGTGATGCTTGTTGCTGATCATGCTTTGGTTCTGCTTGTTGTGATAGGCTGTTCCCCTGAGGAGTTCCGCTGTATAGACGGATCATGTATAAGTATTCTACAAAGGTGTGACAGTCGTGGCGACTGTCCTGATGGAGACGATGAATTTGGCTGTCGTAAGTATTGGATATACATGTATACTGTTATTGCCCTTGCTACTGTCCTTACGACACGTCCCACATTCCTGTCAAATTTTGTCATTTTTCTGAAGATTGAAGTGATATTATATAATGCAATCAATTATTTTGCCTTATTTGTAAGTCCTGATAATTGTATATTCCCCATCTTTTCTCTTAGAAAAATATGTTTGGATTCTTTCAACTGATCTAAAAGTTCAAATCCTTCAATTAAATGACAAAACTATCAGTCTCCCTCATTTAATTGTTTATTTTCTAACTGTGATTAAAATCAATTTGAGTAACAATTTTGCTTGAAATTTCATTTGCTTTTAGTTGATAACTTTCTTGCTACTGCGCAAATCATTCACTGATTGGATGATGTAATGTTGAACTATATAACAACTAATATGTTTTACCGTAAATAACGTTTTGATGTGAAATGGTTTACATGTTCAGTTTAAGTGATACCTTGTGAACATTTAACATGGATTATTTATTGGAATATAATGCTGTGTACTTTATATTCATTTTGGTTTTCCATTTTTCCATTAATTCATTCATCCTTTGAGCACAGATAAAATATTAACTTTACAAAACCATGTCAAAAGTGTTGTATTTTCTTCATTAAAAAACCCTTACAAAATGGTTCTTTGATGTGCAAAAATATTTTTTAACAGATTCAGAATAATGGAAAAATGTACACCAATAGTTTGAACTTGCACAGCCCTCATTCCATTATGTTGAAATAGTTGTCTAGATCTTTGTATTGTTTTAGTGTCATATTCTTGTACATGAATCTCTAAGTGGTTGTTGTCTTTGGTGGAGGGGTTGAATGTCAAGAGGTATGCATGTTTCTTGGTGGTACTGTGGTACTGTGGTACTGTGGTACTGTGGTACTCTGGTGTCTCTGACTTGGGCTGGACTCCTTGCTTCAGGTGGTGATAGGGTTCTACCATTACCCTCCAGTCTTTATGCCATCTGCATGGGTTATTTCCATATGGGATGTCGTCGTGGAGTTTATTGAATCCTCTGCTCTGTGGTATTAGGGACATTCTCCTTCAACCAGTTGCATGGGTGTGGACAGCTAAGCGGACTTAGGCAGTGTCTGTGATGCTATGGACTTGATTCCAGTGGAACAGGGTTTTAGATATACTTTTCTCTGCCTGTTGAAGGATGCATATTGATATTTTTGGTATGTCAACAAAATAATAACATAATTGTTTGATAGTAAATTAAATTGTGTTTAGTCATGTCTGAAAGTCACAATAATCATTTTATTGCTTGTCTTCTGGGCTATATTTATTTTACCTGCAATGTTTCAATATGCATCAAGCTTTCTTAGAAAGGTTGTAGTGTCATGACTTTGGTGATTGAAGATATGAGTTGGTTAGTTTTCTGGAAAAGGATTCTTACTAATGACATTGAAGCATGGCTAGGAGTAGGAAACATTCTATAGAGATTAATACTATTTTAGTTAACAGTCATGGAAGTTTTTCCAAGGACTCCTCTCTCATTTAATCTGGAAAGCATGCCAATGTGATCATTTTTATTAATCATGTAACACGGGCATTTGCACCTGCCCAAACCAGCCAAAGCTGTTCGCTTTGGTGTAGACTACTGTTCACTTAACCCAGTGATAACACTGTCTGCTTGTCCCTTACCAAAGCCTCCGTCCCTTGCCCACGGGGGCAGTTTAGATGCGAAGGGGGGAGGTGTATAGATGATCGTCTTCGTTGTGATGGCAGAGCGGATTGTCCTGACAGAACAGACGAAATCGACTGTCGTAAGTTCACCAGCGATGTGGCGGCAGTACAGTCTGCAAAATATTCTCTCAAGTTTTTCCGCATTTGCTTAAAAAAGGCCGTAGAAATAGACAATTATTGACAATCTATCACTTAAACAAATATTTTTTTTTTTTGTAATGGGTAATTCGGTAATTGAAAATTTTGTCAGAAAATTAAGTCTTTGATAGGCATTTAGAAGTTGGGAGAACATGAATACAAATGCCTGCGTGTAAACTAAAACAAATTATTTTCATGAAAGGACAAACTTTATATCTGTCATTTCTACGGCCAGACTTGTATTCCCCTTGCCAAAGAAAAGAAACAGCTTTGCATTCTTGGATTTCCCTTTGGATTTCCCTTTGGATGCTCTTGGGTGCTTGCTTTTTACTCTCCCACTTATTTATGGATTCTTTTCCAAGAGAATTGTTTTATGGTGAAGTTTGCTTGCAAGACCTTTTCCTTTAACATTTATCCAAGGCTTAAAAACATTGCTTTCAGCAGAACAGATTTGTAAGTACTTTTTTATGTTGTGCTGAAAAAGCTTAAAATGCATCATAAACCCTCTTTTCTTCAAATCCGTTATATGTTTTGCTTGCAATAAAAAAATTGAATTCTAGTTTTCTTTATTTCATTGCTTTAGATATAACTCATTATTTGTGTTATTATTATATTTATATTTCATATAAGATTTGAAAATTTAATCCTTAAAGGCTTGTTAATTTTATTGCATCAAGGAAGCACCCAAGAATATTTCCATTAAAACTTTTTAACAATTTAACATAACAATTTGTGTCAAGATGAGGTCCTATCCTATATGCTCAGTATATGTGTACAAATATCTACAGTAAAGGGTGGGAAGTATTATGATATTGTTTTGAGAAGTGGTCAAGTGTTGACCACGGTTTTGTTTGTGGTTTTAGTCCAATGGCCTGTAGCCAGAGACTAGTGTGCTGTCCGTGGTTTCCACCACTCAGTCTTGTTGAAGTAAGACTAGTAGTCTTCTGTTGAGCTGGTCAGTCTCAAGACCTTGTGTTGCAGTCCTGTTGGACGGTTGTTGTACTGAAGTTCTTGGTACTTGCCAAGAACCAGTTTTGTGATCCATTGTGTTGAAACCAACGGTTCCTGTCCCTCTCCAACAGTGTGTTGTTCTGGAGATTGTGTTCCCTGATCCTCAGTGCCAGGATATCCTCATTTCAGCATGTTGTTCCTCGATATCTGGGATCTAGCTAGTGTTATCTCTCATCTTTCGTTTATTTATACCTTCTTATCAGGATAACAGAGTACAAATGGAATGTTGCCAAGAGATTCAATTCATTGTTTTTCAGAACATTTGCTAATCAAAATATTACAAGGCTGCATGTTTCCATGTTCAAATTCACAAATTGACAAAAAAATACTAATAATTACAAAGTTTTTATTATTATTTATTTATTATAGTAACTGTTACCGAGAAGACAATGGCTTATTTATCTATGTCCATCTTCCATGTGTTTCTTTGTGTTTGGGGCAGTGGGGTAGCCTAGTGGTAAAAGCGTTTGCTTGTCACGCTGAAGACCCAGGTTCGATCCCCCACATGGGTACAATATGTGAAGCCCATTTCTGGTGTCCCCCGCTGTGATATTGCTGGAATATTGCTAAAAGCGGCGTAAAACCATACTCACTCACTCACTCTTTGTGTTCGTGTGTCCATTAAGTGTTTTGTGTGTACCTTAAAATTTAGACGTCCATGTCATATTGTTAGTGGTAGGAACTAACTAGAATTGAGTCTTGTTGCCTTGGTGGCCTGGCCGACTGTATGTGTATCAGTGTACCCAGCTGTGTGGATCATTGCTCATGCTATCAATCACTGGTTTGCCTGATTCAGACTTTGTGGTGTTGCTGTAACATTGTGCAAGCATAAATCACCTTCACTCTATTCTAACGACACCAGGTGTTTGTGAAATGGCTAATGGTGTCCTTCCATATAGTCAGACATGGCCAGACACTCAGGAAAAGTCCATGACAGATCATGACAAGTACCCAAGTATTTCAGATTTTGTGATCAAAATTATTATTTACCTGTCTATTTTTTGTACATCCTCCCCTATGTGTGTCAGGTTGTTGTCTCTTAAATCTCTCGTAGCGTCTCCACCTGCTTGATCGTGATGATAACTCCCCTCTCCCCCCCCCCCCCCCCACACCCTTATGTAACCTCTGTGTTTTCTTAGTTCACGGAGCACTGCCTACATGTTACTGGATGTGTATTTGTCAAGGAAAGTCACTTCACGTCTCCATTTTTTGTAGTGCTGCATTTTAAATAATATACTGAATGAAAGAAATAAAGGAACAGACATTACAAGAAATGTGTGCTTTGAAAAGTTTTTATTCATTTTTCAGTGTTTTGTAGTGCAGCATTTTAAATAATATACTGAGTCAATCAAATAGAGGAACATATAGGAAATGAAATGGTGCGATATGACAGATGCCATCTCTGCACTGTCTTGTTTGGTTATGAAGTAGCTATATTTAACACATCCATGAACCTTGTTATCTCCTTGTTATCTCCTTGTTAGGCAGTATTTTTGATGAGACTTTGTATTTTTACTCACCCATTAAACCTGCTCTGTGGATGAGTACCTAATTGTTTTCCCTTCAGTAGAACGTGAAGAGTTTGGAAATATTTTGAAAGTAGGATAAATTAATTAGTGACATTATTTTGGGGCTAAATACTGAATATATTTTATTTGCATGTCATTGAAATCTTAAAAGTCTCCGGTAACTGGACATAGCAGTTGTTTTTGATTGTTTTTGTATAAAGTTTATCATTGTTATTTTTGGATGGCAATCTCATTTCTTCTTACAAAATGTTTTGGTTTTTGAAGAGTCAGTGTTGCAAGAGAAATATGTGCACCTCGATAAATAGCTTGTAAGACTCACCGGAATCAGTGTGAGACAGGGACTGTCATCCAATGCTTGTATACTAAACACAAAAAAAGTTGAAGAACACCCAGTTTTTTTTAGATATGACTTCCTGGCTTCTTGTGATTATTTTGAGTAGAATCTGTTCGTGGGCACAATGGAGGCTTTACTTAAATATGAGGAGATGAATGGAAGTGGCAAGTTTTGTTTGTAGATATTCCTATATCCCCATTGACAGTTAGGGCCTACCTGTGTCTATGTGTATTGTCTCATGTCTCCCATTGACAGTTAGGGCCTACCTGTGTCTATGTGTATTGTCTCATGTCCCCCATTGACAGTTAGGGCCTACCTGTGTCTATGTGTGTTGTCTCATATCTCCCATTGACAGTTAGGGCCTACCTGTGTCTATGTGTGTTGTCTCATATCTCCCATTGACAGTTAGGGCCTACCTGTGTCTATGTGTGTTGTCTCATGTCTCCCACTGACAGTTAGGGCCTACCTCTGTCTATGTGTATTGTCTCATGTCTCCCATTGACAGTTAGGGCCTACCTGTGTCTATGTGTATTGTCTCATGTCTCCCATTGACAGTTAGGGCCTACCTGTGTCTATGTGTATTGTCTCATGTCTCCCATTGACAGTTAGGGCCTACCTGTGTCTATGTGTGTTGTCTCATATCTCCCATTGACAGTTAGGGCCTACCTGTGTCTATGTGTGTTGTCTCATATCTCCCATTGACAGTTAGGGCCTACCTGTGTCTATGTGTGTTGTCTCATGTCTCCCATTGACAGTTAGGGCCTACCTGTGTCTATGTGTGTTGTCTCATGTCTGTCATTGACAGTTAGGGCCTACCTGTGTCTCTGTGTGTTGTCTCATGTCTCCCATTGACAGTTAGGGCCTACCTGTGTCTCTGTGTGTTGTCTCATGTCCCCCATTGACAGTTAGGGCCTACCTGTGTCTATGTGTGTTGTCTCATATCTCCCATTGACAGTTAGGGCCTACCTGTGTCTCTGTGTGTTGTCTCATATCTCCCACTGACAGTTAGGGCCTACCTGTGTCTATGTGTATTGTCTCATGTCTCCCACTGACAGTTAGGGCCTACCTGTGTCTATGTGTATTGTCTCATATCTCCCACTGACAGTTAGGGCCTACCTGTGTCTCTGTGTGTTGTCTCATGTCTCCCATTGACAGTTAGGGCCTACCTGTGTCTATGTGTGTTGTCTCATATCTCCCATTGACAGTTAGGGCCTACCTGTGTCTATGTGTATTGTCTCATGTCTCCCATTGACAGTTAGGGCCTACCTGTGTCTATGTGTGCTGTCTCATGTCCCCCACTGACAGTTAGGGCCTACCTGTGTCTATGTGTGTTGTCTCATGTCTCCCATTGACAGTTAGGGCCTACCTGTGTCTATGTGTGTTGTCTGATATCTCCCATTGACAGTTAGGGCCTACCTGTGTCTATGTGTGTTGTCTCATATCTCCCATTGACAGTTAGGGCCTACCTGTGTCTCTGTGTGTTGTCTCATGTCCCCCATTGACAGTTAGGGCCTACCTGTGTCTCTGTGTGTTGTCTCATGTCTCCCATTGACAGTTAGGGCCTACCTGTGTCTGTGTGTGTTGTCTCATGTCTCCCACTGACAGTTAGGGCCTACCTGTGTCTATGTGTGTTGTCTCATATCTCCCATTGACAGTTAGGGCCTACCTGTGTCTCTGTGTGTTGTCTCATGTCCCCCATTGACAGTTAGGGCCTACCTGTGTCTATGTGTGTTGTCTCATATCTCCCATTGACAGTTAGGGCCTACCTGTGTCTCTGTGTGTTGTCTCATGTCCCCCATTGACAGTTAGGGCCTACCTGTGTCTATGTGTGTTGTCTCATGTCTCCCATTGACAGTTAGGGCCTACCTGTGTCTATGTGTGTTGTCTCATATCTCCCATTGACAGTTAGGGCCTACCTGTGTCTCTGTGTGTTGTCTCATGTCCCCCATTGACAGTTAGGGCCTACCTGTGTCTATGTGTATTGTCTCATGTCCCCCATTGACAGTTAGGGCCTACCTGTGTCTATGTGTGTTGTCTCATGTCTCCCATTGACAGTTAGGGCCTACCTGTGTCTATGTGTGTTGTCTCATATCTCCAATTGACAGTTAGGGCCTACCTGTGTCTATGTGTGTTGTCTCATGTCTCCCATTGACAGTTAGGGCCTACCTGTGTCTATGTGTGTTGTCTCATGTCTCCCATTGACAGTTAGGGCCTACCTGTGTCTATGTGTGTTGTCTCATATCTCCAATTGACAGTTAGGGCCTACCTGTGTCTATGTGTGTTGTCTCATATCTCCCACTGACAGTTAGGGCCTACCTGTGTCTATGTGTGTTGTCTCATGTCTGTCATGTTACAAGTAACATCAATCTTGTGTTAAAATTTTTATTTGATTAATTCTATTGTATGTACTGATGTTATTTTCTTTCAGCAAAATATAAATAATTGATGAGACATATAGTCAATGTTATTGAGTATGAAATATTGAGAATCAGTTTCTTTTGTGTGTCAGAAAGATCTGCAATTTCCTATGAAAAGGTTAATATGGTAGCTCTGTGGATAAGGTGTCAGCTTGACATGCTGAAGAACCTTGTTTGAATCCACATGTGGGTACATGAGTGATTCTCTTTGTTGTGTGTGAGGGCGGTCGGGTAGCCTAGTGGTTAAAGCGTTCGCTCGTCACGCCAAAGACCTGGGTTCGATTCCCGACATGGGTACAATGTGTGAAGCCCATTTCAGGTGTCCCCTGCCGTGCTATTGCTGGAATATTGCTAAAAGCGGCGTAAAACCATACTCACTCACTCACTCTTTGTTGTGTCCAGCGCCATGGCATGGTTGGAATATTGCTAAAAGTGGCGTAAAACAACACTCACCAACTCCTTTTAGGGCATTAAAACATTTCATTTAGTGTTATTATGGGAAAGTAAAAAGTTTATCATTCCCAAAAGAGCAAGAGATATCCTTTTGTAGTTAGAAACATGATCTGATATTTATAATTCATAGAATGCTTGATATGTGCAATGAGATTAATTGCCTCTATATAAAGTTTGAAACATACTTTGTACATTCAGTGTCAGCATAAGCACAAAGTCATTATCTATCCAATGGTACGAATGAGGTCATGCCAAGGAAATAAAGTAATGTTAAGTGTTTATTATGAAATTGGAATGTGGAAATAGGCCATAGGAGTGTGAACTGTCAGCTGGATTTTATTAAATCATCTAAATTATGCATGCTTTTATTTGCTTTTGAATTTTTATCACAATTCCTTAGAACATAATTAAAACATTAGATGTCTTCCTACAGCCTCCCGAAACTGCACAGCAGCCGAGTTCCGCTGTAACGATGGATCTTGCATTGATGCTTCCCAGCTGTGCAACGGTTACCCTGATTGCGATGACAGTTCAGATGAAGATGCAAATAAATGCAGTATGTTTGGCTTTGCTAATGAGATTACATGATTAGTGGGGAGTTAGTGATTCATATGTATCATGATGTAACAAATTATATATATTATGAAACAAAATGCAGCAAAATTTGGTTATTAATTGTAGGAAAGTTATGAACGACAGTGATGTAAATTATCATTGTCATTGACCACCTCTGTGGTCTTGTGGACAGAGTGTCTGCCTGGAGAGCCGAAGGTCAATCACCGGATGTGTCATACCAAAAGATGTTAAAAGATGATACTTGTTGTTACCCTGTCTCGCGCTTGGCATTAAGGGGCTTTAAAATAAGGCCAGGTCAGCTCGGATTGAGAATGCTGTGTCTGTGTGGGGTATTCATGTTAAACTGCAGCATGGTTTCTCATTTGGCTAGCACTATAAAATCAGCACTAGTCCTGATTTTACAAACACACACACATGCATGCATGTTGCTATATAAGTGCAATAATCTTGAACGTGGTGTTAAACCCCATTTCACCTCCCCTCAAGTCACTCACGATTAAACCCTTTACCCTTCCTCTGTCAGTCCCCGTGTTGCCAGAGCTGTGCCCGGAGGGTCAGTTCCGCTGTGAAGACGGTCAGTGTATTGACCCAAGGTACCAGTGCAATGGAGCTCAAGACTGCCGTGATGGATCGGATGAATTAAACTGTGGTGAGTTGTCCCCCTTGCCTTCTCCTATGACAGAGATTATTTCAGACTTTGCCTCAGAGAATTCCTTTATGCAAACTTGCTATCTCTATGAATACATGACCGGTGAAGAAGGAGCAAGAAGCAAGAAGTAGCTCTGAAACGTCGTACAAAGAATAAAAGAAGATGCTATCCATAATAAAGTGTCATGTATTCATGTTCTCCCAGCTTCTACTTGCCTATCAAAGACTTGCTGTCTCTAACATATAAGAAACTTGAAATCCAAAAAGAACATCCTAATCAGCAGGTCGAGACACAGCACAGCTGATCAAAAAGGTGTTGAATTAAATGACAAAAAACTTAATGACAGTCCCAGCACAGCTAAACCATAAGACAAAGGTTCAATATCAAGCACAGTGAACTAGAAAATTAAAGCTCTCAAAACCTAGCAAAGGTGATCAGAAAGTCCATGTTTCGAAAAATCAGAAGTGACCAGAAGTCTTCATTTCAAAAGTTATAAAAGATGATCAGAAAGTCCATGATTCGAAAATCTGAAACAATGTCCCGCACGTTCCTGTTGCAGGTGTAAAACAAACATGTCAGTGCCAGGTACAACAATGTTCCTGTTGCAGATGTAAAACAAACATGTCAGTGTCAGGTACAACAATGTTCCTGTTGCAGATGTAAAACAATGTTCCCCAAGTCAGTGCCAGGTACAACAATGTTCCTGTTGCAGATGTAAAACAATGTTCCCCATGTCAGTGCCAGGTACAACAATGTTCCTGTTGCAGATGTAAAACAAACATGTCAGTGCCAGGTACAACAATGTTCCTGTTGCAGATGTAAAACAAACATGTCAGTGTCAGGTACAACAATGTTCCTGTTGCAGATGTAAAACAATGTTCCCCATGTCAGTGCCAGGTACAACAATGTTCCTGTTGCAGATGTAAAACAAACATGTCAGTGCCAGGTACAACAATGTTCCTGTTGCAGATGTAAAACAAACATGTCAGTGTCAGGTACAACAATGTTCCTGTTGCAGATGTAAAACAATGTTCCCCATGTCAGTGCCAGGTACAACAATGTTCCTGTTGCAGGTGTAAAACAATGTTCCCCATGTCAGTGCCAGGTACAACAATGTTCCTGTTGCAGATGTAAAACAATGTTCCCCATGTCAGTGCCAGGTACAACAATGTTCCTGTTGCAGATGTAAAACAAACATGTCAGTGCCAGGTACAACAATGTTCCTGTTGCAGATGTAAAACAAACATGTCAGTGCCAGGTACAACAATGTTCCTGTTGCAGATGTAAAACAATGTTCCCCAAGTCAGTGCCAGGTACAACAATGTTCCTGTTACAGGTGTAAAACAATGTTCCCCAAGTCAGTGCCAGGTACAACAATGTTCCTGTTGCAGGTGTAAAACAATGTTCCCCAAGTCAGTGCCAGGTACAACAATGTTCCTGTTGCAGGTGTAAAACAATGTTCCCCAAGTCAGTCTCAGGTACAACAATGATCCTGTTGCAGGTGTAAAACAATGTTCCCCAAGTCAGTGCCAGGTACAACATTGTTCCTGTTGCAGGTGTAAAACAATGTTCCCCATGTCAGTGCCAGGTACAACAATGTTCCTGTTGCAGGTGTAAAACAATGTTCCCCAAGTCAGTGCCAGGTACAACAATGTTCATGTTGCAGATGTAAAACAATGTTCCCCAAGTCAGTGCCAGGTACAACAATGTTCCTGTTGCAGATGTAAAACAATGTTCCCCAAGTCAGTGCCAGGTACAATAATGTTCCTGTTGCAGGTGTAAAACAATGTTCCCCAAGTCATTGTCAGGTACAACAATGTTCCTGTTGCAGATGTAAAACAATGTTTCCCAAATCAGTGCCAGGTACAACAATGTTCCTGTTGCAGATGTAAAACAATGTTCCCCATGTCAGTGCCAGGTACAACAATTTTCCTGTTGCAGATGTTAAACAATGTTCCCCAAGTCAGTGCCAGGTACAACAATGTTCCTGTTGCAGGTAGACGATGTTCCCCAGGGGAGTTCCAGTGTGCCGACTCCTCCTGTATTGACGAGAGGTTCCGCTGCGATGGTGTGCCCGACTGCTCAGACAGTTCCGACGAGGCTGCTTGTCGTAAGTATCCTGCCATGCAGTCAGGGTGCTGCTTTGGTGACAGGTCACAGCAAGGCTGTCACCAACCTGTCATACATCAGTTTCCTCTTGCATCATGGGCGGTGGGGTAGCCTAGTGGTTAAATGTCCACTCGTCATGCCGACGACCCGGGTTCGAATCTCCACATGAGTACAATGTGTGAAGCCCATTTCTGGTGTCCCCCGCTGTGATATTGCCGTAGTATTGCTCCCGATGACTACTTGACACAAATCTAAAAAGCACATCTCAAAATTCTCTAAAGAGGCAGAATGAAAACCAGAGAGCCTGTCCCTAGATCATAAAAAAGTGCGATCTGAAGTTATTGAAAAAAGATTTAAAAATAAGTACACCCTATGTTTTCAAAATGTTGAATCTTCAAATACGATTGTATTTGCGTCCTGTGTAAGACACTGCTGAGTCCTTAATACCCTCTAAATGGACCCCTGAATCCTGCATACCAAAGGGGGATCATCCTAGTATATACTAACCCATGAATGGTTGACTCTGCTTGAAATCATATTGTTATCATATTGTTATCAGATCCACGATTTTAAGGGGTGGGGGTTGGGGGCTTGGCAGGTGGGTTGGGCACTTGGGCCATTTGTACCCTTAGTTGGGGGATTGATCCAAAAACCCACAAAACATGATATGTAAACCATTATTAATTTTACTCTCGTTTTCTGTTGGTTTTTGTTGTTGTTGTTTTTTTGGGGGGTAGTTGGCTGTGGCCATCCCTGAACAACATCCCCACCCCCCTCTGGATCTGCCACTGTCACAAGTGACTAAAAAGGTTCTATTTATCTTATCACGATCTTATTTATAATTGGTTCATCATGTAGGCCCAGTAAATCTGAGGCACTGCAACCCTCTGTGCAGAGATGAATCCCAAACTTGTGGCAGAATCCTATGATCAGATCCCAGATTCGACCTGATTTTGTTTCTACGTCAACGTCTGCGTCACTTCTGGCTTTCCTACCAGATCAAACAGACGTGCCGTGATATACCTGATATACTGTGAAAGCGGCACTCACTCACTCACTCATTCACTTGTATCTACAAAACTTTGTGTTTACATCGTCATAACTCCATCACTGCATCAAAATCCAAATTTTCATATATTTTTTCTTGAAGTCCTCAAATTTATGAAAATCTACTAAAAATAAAACTGAAACTTTAATGAATTTTCATGAATAATCATTGGCCATTTTGTGCATTTCAGTTGATAAATGTCATATACCATGTGTAGGGGTGAAGTCCATGCTCTGTGTTATTTCATGGCTATGTCAACTGGTTGTGGTATTTTATTTGTTTGCCTCCCATGTAGAGTAAGTATATACACTTGTTGTATCTGTACAACACTGTCCATGACTTGTACAACACTTGTGTAGTTTTGTCTGTCAGTCTGTTGTAGGATTTCATGATTTTTTGTACAAAATGTGTTACGGATGTACACTGATCCAATTTCTTTGTTGTATTATTTGAAATAATTGTTCTTTTGTTTTTGTTTGAACAGTAAGTTTTATTTGTGATTCTGCTTCAGTGTAAAACTGTCAGTCAGTGCTCTGCTTAAGTGCTTCTGTGCAGTCATTGCCTGCTTCGTGCTACCATTTGTATCAGTTTTCAACATTGTATTAGTTTACCTAGGATATTTGGATTGTGGATTTGATAATTTCTGAAGCAGCAAATAAAACAATCCTGCCTTTTTGGGGTTGAGTGTTTTCAATTTAAGGGGTGGGGTGTATGTCCTTAAATAAAGAGCTGATAATGTCCATAAGACTGAAATTTCCTTGAGTTTGGGTGACTTCCATTTTTGTTAATTCACTCCTTTAGTTAATAGGGTAAATTTGGCGATATGGTTCTCTTAACATTTTGTCGTAAAATGTTGACTTAAAATGATACAGAGCTAGGAGTCTGCATCAACACAGAAAACTGCTTTGAAAATTCTCAAATCATGACCAAGTATTCTTCATTGGTTATACATGCAACTCCTTGTTCGTAAATATACAACACCATCCTTCTATATTCACAGCGACCTCTCGATCAGGTAACGTGTGCTATGTTCAGCCGACTCTCTTGTTCAAGCTGTTTGCCTATACATGTATCATGCTGTCAGCGTTCAACTCATGTCCAAGTGGTTGCTTGATCTTTGTTGTATCTGCATGTTTATTCACTGTGCAATGTCGAGCACATTTAAAAAAAGAAATATATCAGAATTAAAATATAATAAAATCCATTTTTAAAAAAACAAGTTTTTCAGGTATTAAAAGAAAATTTGTCAATGAAGATTTGGAAATGATTCAATTGAAATTATCTAAAATAAATGATGAAGCTTGAAAACTTTCTTTCCCTCTCTATGATTAGGAATATTGGAATACAAGCAATCACTTTATTATGTTTTTTGCTAACATATCAGACATTCATTCTTGCGGTGTACTTATGATTATTAATATGCATATTGCGCTGCCACACTGGTATTTGGTACTTTATTATCACTGGAATACAGGAATATGCAAATAATCTTATTTAATCATTATCTCTATGCGCGCCTATGTAACTCTTGCTTATGATGATATCAGATATATCACATTCAACATTAAATTATATCACGTACTTAAAGAATATGATGTACTTATAATATAACACTGACACATATTTGATATGCAATAACACCTATATCAGTATATCAAGTTTAAATTTTGAAAATGTTGAAACAATGTATTTATTAGTTATTTTTTATAGTCTCTCCCTGTGCTTTAATGGCTTCATTCTTGACCCTTCTCCTCTGCGTGGGTCAGAATTAGGTGTCAACTTCTTCTTTTCAAGTCTGTCTTTTTCATTGAACTCTAAATATAGTTTAGCTTAAGCTTTTTAATTTTCAAAATTGGTAGATAGTTAGTGATTTACTAGTTTTCACTCTGAGATATTCTGTTGTTAGATGTTGTGATTATTTAGTTAGTGTCAACTCTCGTCAAGAACGTGAATAATGTTCATATCACATGATGCATTATGTCACTCTGTGAACCAGGTCATAATGCTGACAGCACAAAATTTAGTGGTTACCATGGTTATTGCATACCCATGTTGCAGAGAAGGGATTTGTCTTGGCAGTGAAAATTCCCAAATGGCAATTTGAAAGTTTCAATTCATTTTGATATTTCTTGTATAAGGCTTTATGAGGTTAATTTGTATTTCATCATTACCAGAACCACAACAAAGACTATAGTTAATCTGGCTGTAACTTGAGTAATATGAAAGAATCGGGTGTTGTTGAACTTTTTATGAGTAGTATACAATGTTAAAATACCTCTGAAATTTAAAAAAACCAAAAAGAACTTTATGAAAGTCCTTTTTGCCTGCCAAAACACTTAGTTTGAACTCCAAGATACATCCCTGTATAGAGTCTCCAGGAATAGGATGTCATATTGACCCACGTCAAAATTTGGCCATCAGCATCATTTTCTTTGGTCTGTTGTTCAGGTTGCAGGAGATTTCATTACTTAATTTTATGATGACAAAGCCAGTGATATTTCTATAAAACAGATCATCCAGTGTTGGTAAACATTGAAACCACCATTTCATCAAGCTGCATCTGAAACGTCACAGCCTCATGTCCACAAACATACCCTTCCTGTGTTCAGGCCAACGATCATCCAGCATTTCGGTTTATTCTCTACCCATAACAGCTTGAAAACATTCTTCAGCAAATCAATTAACATTTTGTTAAGCGATGTAAGCATGTGTTCAACTTTGGTACTTACCGTTTCCATTGCGTGGAGGTTTTGTTTCAGACCTCAGTCCTGATGTTGGCATGGATTTCAATGTTTACATAACATTGGCTACATTTTCTCATTGGGACGTATCATATTGTCTCATTGGGACATATCATAATGTACATTGTGCTACATTTTCTCATTGGGACGTATCATATTGTACATTATGATACATTTTCTTATTGGGACGATTCATATTGTACATTGTCTCATTGGGACAATTCATATTGTACGTTGTGCTACATTTTCTTATTGGGACGATTCATATTGTTCATTGTCTCATTGGGACGATTCATATTGTACATTGTGCTTCATTTTCTCATTGGGACATATCATATTGTACATTGTGCTACATTTTCTCATTGGGACGATTCATATTGTACATTGTCTCATTGGGACAATTCATATTGTACATTGTGCTACATTTTCTCATTGGGACATATCATATTGTACATTGTCCTACATTGTCTCATTGGGACGTATCATGTTGTACATTGTGCTACATTGTCTCATTGGGACGTATCACACTGTACATTGTCTCACTGGGATGTATCATATTGTACATTGTCTCATTGGGACGTATCATATTGTACATTGTGCTACATTGTCTCATTGGGACGTATCACACTGTACATTGTCTCATTGGGACGTATCACACTGTACATTGTTCTACATTGTCTCATTAGGACGTATCACACTGTACATTGTCTCATTGGGATGTATCACACTGTACATTGTCTCATTGGGATGTATCATATTGTTCATTGTCTCATTGGGACGTATCACACTGTACATTGTCTCATTGGGATGTATCACACTGTACATTGTTCTACATTGTCTCATTGGGACGTATCACACTGTACATTGTCTCATTGGGACATATCATATTGTACATTGTCTCATTGAGACATATCATATTGTACATTGTGCTACATTGTCTCATTGGGACGTATCACACTGTACATTGTCTCATTGGGACGTATCACACTGTACATTGTTCTACATTGTCTCATTGGGACGTATCACACTGTACATTGTCTCATTGGGACATATCATATTGTACATTGTCTCATTGAGACATATCATATTGTACTTTGTGCTACATTGTCTCATTAGGACGTATCATACTGTACATTGTCTCATTGGGACGTATCAAGAAATATGTTTTCTGTGTACATTTAGGACTGACGATTTGATATTTGGAGTTTGTGGCAGGGTTCCTGGGATTTTGTAACATTAGAAACCAGATTTTATTTATTTAAAACTATGAACCTGATTTTTTACAAAGAAAAACACCTTGCAAGAATGTAATTTTTGTGGCATGCAATTTTTTTTTCAACAGTCTGAAGCAAAATTTCTTTTTTTTCGTAAATATTTTGGGACAGTTTATTTTTTAAATTAAAATCTTAGTCCCCTCCCTGTATAACAAATAGTCAGTCCATTATGAAATGATCTCAGCTGAAGAAATGACAACCACATATGCTATATACTGCCGGAAACCAGAAACATTATTGTCAATCAAGACTTTGATTCCCCAAATGGTTACAATCTGTGAAGCCCATTTCTGGTTTTCCCTGCTGTGATATTGCTGGAATATTGCTAAAAGTGGCATTAGACCAAACTCACTCACTCACACACTCCTATGTGAAACTGACAAACTTTGTGACTAGTGCTGATGGAAGCATTAGGGGGGACTAGACCCTGGGAGAAGTCACAACAAGCGAGCTTTACATCCTTGAAACACTAGTCTGTTGGCCAGCTACATGTACCTCAAAATTGATTACAGTCTCATAGTCTTGGTTTCGCAGAATGTATTAATTGCAATGTGTTGGTTTAGACTTAAAATGGGAACTATCCCATTGAACAGTCTCCCTTTAACTCACTCACTCACTCACTCACACTATTATTGATATGAAATTTTCTTGCACTTGTTTTCTTATTTCCGGCAGTAAATTTATGTATCTATTTTGAGTATTCATATCTATATATATCCATAAATTTTGGAGGATCCGATTTTCAGTGTTCATTTAAAAAACCCCCGATTCTTTCGTACTACTAATCTTTCATGATAGTAATATGAAAGAATCTGTTGGTCCTTAACTTTTTTTAGTAGTATATGTTTTCTGTCTGTGTTCCATTCCCCGATGAATGTATATTCATGTATGCATGACTTAATTTCAGCTATTGTTATCTCTGGAACTAAAACTGTAAAACCCAACGAGCAGATCAAACTTACGTGTAACGCTTCTAGCAGTCGGCGGGATCCTGTCACCAGTCTAGAATGGTATAAGAACGGCCGGAAACTACAGGAAGATCGCAGGAATCTGATTTTGAGGAATTATGGGAGAGAGGAATACTATGTTAGCGAACTTTATGTACGTAGAACGCGTGTTGAAGATGGCGGACGTTACACTTGTCGAAGTCAACGAAATCAGGAGAGTATTGATGTGAGGATTGAAGGTAAGTGGGTGACCCTTCCACATGGCCACGACTTCTCATTGGCCCAAGATCGAATTGTGACAGAAATTTCGGCCATAGTTGTGGTGACGCCAATTCCAGAACACCCAGGATATGAGTGTGTGTCTCAGTGTAATAGCTAGTGAGAAATGTTAAAGAGAGTGCTGTATATTTTGACCTCAACGATACGGGTTATATCACTCTCTTGCTTTACCTATACACACCAGTGTGAGACATGTTAAACTCAAGTTTCTTAGAAGTCTATGTTATTGTTATTTGTGAAATAGAACACGTTCAATATTCTTTGAAAGATTTTTCGCTGTTCATAAGACGATACAATTATATGATTTCAAATGTTTTTCACTCGGTGCCAGACCAATTTAATTTCTTGTTTTAAAGATCTGCTGGTCAGCTCATAGTAAGTTATATCTATTTGTTTTTGTTTAACTATTTTGATAAAATGATCTTGTCTAGTAACTTTTAATATCAAAATATACATTGACTTTGACATTTTGACCATGAAAGTCTTCACCTGAAGCAAAAGGGAAGGTTTTTTCCCCCAAACAATGGACCTGAAGCAGGTGAGGATGTATCGCACAAATAAAAATATGGTAATCGGCACAATCAAGTAATTTTGAGGTTATTTTTCAAAATGTTGATTTTGATTGTTTTTTCCCCCCTCCTGCTTTAGGGGATACATTTATAAATCAAGTAATAAATTTGGTCTGGCTGAATTGGGAAACTTGAAAGTGGAAGCTGTTTTTGCTCAGCTAAAAAAAACTATTGAAATAATGCAATGAACATTATCACTACACGGTGGTATTATGACTGATATGTACAATTTTTTAATTTAAAAAAAAAAATGAAATATAAATTTCTGTTTTTCATACGACAGTTGCTTACAGTGATATTAAAAAACTATTGAAATAATGCAATGAACATTATCACTACAGGGTGGTATTATGACTGACATGTACATTTTTTAAAAACATTTTAGAAATAAAATATAAGTTTCTATGTTTCTGTTCTACGACAGTTGCTTACAATGATATTAAGAATTCCATTTCACCAATGAATGCATTTACAAAATATTAAAGAAATATGCAAAGTAAGAAAATAATGTCGCAAATATGTCTTGATGTGAAAATTGGTGTTTAGTGCAGTGATGGCATATCGTATGTGATGTTTACCACATTCAGTATATATATCCAGTTTATATCCGCCCAGTTAGGAAAGTGTTATTCCACGTCTCTGTACCGGGTGAATGTTGGTTATACCTTGGTTATTACACATCACAGCCTTTGTGCCAGATGTGTAGTTTAATGTATTTCTTTGTTGCTAGCTCAACGTCAGTGTTCTGCATCTGAGTTCCGCTGCAATGATGGCCAATGTTTGGATGGTGCTGCTCGTTGTAACGGCGTCCCAGAATGCATTGATAGCTCCGATGAAGCGAATTGCCGTAAGTTATATGTCACTGGTCCCTCGTCTCGAACATAATATGGTTGGCATGGCGGATTTATTGGCTTGGGACTTTTTTTGTGAATGAGATTGAGTCACAAGCAGTATATAGGCCACCACTAATTGGGGCGCAGGAATCAGATATAGGCCCATGGACCCACGTCGCTGTTGTGATCGTATGAGGCTGAATTTAACAACTAAATACCGTATCCGATGTAATAAGCGCCCCGCTCTAATAAGCGCCCATGGTGATATTTGCTAATATATTTGCTAGTGAACAATCCCAATTAGCACCCCTTCTGATTGATCAATGTACACAAGACTTCTAATATTCTAATAAGAGCCCCCTATTTCCAATTTTGAGAGCGCCCTGGGCGCTTATTACGTCAAATATGGTCTATAAAATCTCTGATGATCCTGTTTGCCAGCTGCCCATGTCACTGACCCCTGAAAACTGTAAATGAGCCTCCATTTCTGAGCAATATGGATCACCTTGCCCTATATTTGTAATTCCTGGCCAATCATTTCACAGGTAATGGGTCACATGACCCATGAGCATGCACCTCAGTATGCAGGTGCTCAGGTGCTTGCTGTTCGATCATTGGTGGAAATAGGGTGGGGTGCGCAGTTGAAACATTCGTAACAATGAGACTTGCAGTAGTTTTATAGGTTAAACACTGTGGCTATTGGCAACATAGTTTTCTCAACAACATTACATTATTACTGAACACAAACAGCAAATCACAAGATGAACAAACACCTCGTTTCCCGAGCAGCTGAATCCACACTTGAATTCACACGTGATTCATTTGTGTGGTAGATTCAGGGAAAGATTTTGGAAATTAGTTCTACTTATTTCTGTGATGGATCACTGGCAATTCTGTTGGCCAAGGTCTGCAGATACCTAAGCTGTGCCAGGATCTGCTGATGCAAGGATCTGCTGATGCCAGGTTTGCTGTGAGGTCGGTCTTTGGTTTGTCAGCACCATACTGGGTGTCCCCCACCGTGACATTGCTGGAATATTGCTAAAAGCGGCGTAAATCATACTCACTCACTCTACCCCCCCAGAACCATACTGATCCTCACCAAAGTGTAAACATCTGCCATTTGGGTCACTTCTGGTTTTCCTCCAACATTAAGGAAGCACGAGTGGCCTGATTTTCTAAGGTGCTGCAATTTCCTATGCAGAGTTGCTTTCCTTTGGCATGCAACAAACCTATGACAATCCGATTGAGTCTCACTAAAGTTGTAAATGTCTGAGACCTTCATACTGCCGATATTCCTTCACATCAACTGAAATAAGTTTCCCTTCACTCCCTATCTGGGGCGGTCGGATAGCCTAGTGGTAAAAGCATTTGCTAGTCACGCCGAAGACCTGGGTTCGATTCCTGACATGGGTACAATGTGTGAAGCCCATTACTGGTGTCCCCCGTCGTGATATTGCGGAAATATTGCTAAAAGCAGGGTAAAACCACACTCGCTCACTCACTCACTCACTCACTCACTCACTCACTCACTCACTCCTTGACCGCCTCCGTGGTCTTGTGGTAGAGCGTCCGCCCGGAGAGCGGAAGGTCCAGGGTTCGATCCCGGGCCGCGTCATACAAAAAGACGTTAAAAGATGGTACTTCTTGTTACCCTGTCTGGCGCTCGGCATTAAGGGGCTAAAACAAGGACTGGTCGGCTCGGAGTCAGTATACTGTGTCTGAGTGGGGTATTCATGTTAAACTGCGGCATGGTATCTCAGTGAGCTAGCACTATAAATCGGCATCAGTCCGGACTAGTACAAGCAGCCACACACACACACATACACATGCATGCACGTCGCTATATAAGTGCAATAATCTTGGACGCGACATTAAACCCAATTTCACCTCACCTCACTCACTCCTTTGTTGCAGCATGCCGAGAGGATCAGTTTGAGTGCAGGAATGGCCAGTGTATTTCCGCCGAGGGGCGCTGCAACAGAAACTATGACTGTGCTGATGGCAGTGATGAACAGAGTTGTCGTAAGTTGACACAATTTATTCCTGTGATGGTTAGGGCTAATCATTTGATTTGGGGGGGACAGGAGGGAGTGGGATTTAAAACAAATCTGTTCCCCAAAAATGGTTGAATAAAATAATTTGTCTTAATAATATAATTGGTGGTACTGGATGATTTGTGAAATAATTGAGAAACAGAAAATTAAGTGTTCGATTCCTAAAAGAGGACTCGCCTCGGGAAGTGTGGTTCAAGTTGTCAAGAACTACGATATTTATCATTCAAAACTGGTTTCCCCAGGAGATTTCACTTGGTGATCTTCTTAGGAGATATGGGGTGGTCGGGTAGCCTACTGGTTAAATCTCGTAACGCTGAAGACCTGGGTTCGATTCCCCACATGAAAACAATGTGTGAAACCCATTACTGGTGTCCCCTGCCGTGATATTGCTGGACTATTGCTAAGAGCGGCGTCAAACCATACTCACTCACTCACTCACTCTTAGGAGGTACAGCTTCAATGAACATTGCATCACAATGTTGTGCAGACCCTTGTCATGTCACTGATCTCTCCGCCACAGAAGCTGGTCAGATGTACATGTGCCGCTCAAGACACTGATTATTACTGTTTACACACGGAAAAAGATTAAAGAATAATTTTACATGATAAAAAGAATCTCACGCGTGTGTCTTTTGACATGAAATATATCAACACTCGTCAATAAATATCAAATTCGTGTTGATATATTTGATATCAAAAGGCACTCTAATCAAAATACTTTTTTTGCACAATATAATGGTATAATTTTTTATATTAGTGTCGAGTCGTCTAGGCCACCACCATTCAATGGGCAGGATTGATCCCTTAGGCTTGCCAGAACCCAACGATCGCGATATAACTGAAATACTATAAAGACGACATTAAGCCAAATTCATGAACTGACAGATTTGAGTGAATTTCTATGTTGTAGCCTGTGGTGATGATGAGTTCACCTGTGGAGACGGACGTTGCATCCCAGCTGCCCGCCGTTGTGACCGCCGACCTGACTGCGCTGACCGCAGTGATGAAAGCGGATGTGGTGGGTGTTTAAGTGTTGTTTATCCTCCCAAACTGGCTCCCCCAGGAATTATCGCTTGAGTGAGATCAAGCGATATCTACATTGTGGATATCGCTGCAATGAAATTGCACCACAATGCATTGCAACCCTTGGAGCTTTTTCACTTTTATTAACTCGTGTTGATATATTTGATATCAAAAGACACTCGGGTGAAATTCTCATTTTCAGGAGTCTGTTTTCAAGATTTGTACTGTTTCAACAAGCGTGTCATGAATAAATTACCACATTTTCAAATTTACAAAGGCGGGGTGAGCATTTTGTTGATTCCACAATCTGATCATGAACGTTCCGAAAGGAATTAAACAGATTTCAACAAATATGCCAACCTAGGGCTTGTAACACAAAGTGAATTTGCATGCCGACTGCCGCAAGTCTAGTTCAAAGTATTGATGCTACGATTGTCTTAGGGCTAACATTGCTTTGTGGAACGTGGCCCTTGTTCTGTAAGACAAAGTGACTTGACTGTAACATGGACCTGTGTTACAATGAGTAGAACAGGCCCAGCCCTCATTCAGGCCTTACAGCTAATCTGAAAATGACCTTAGCGTGGCCTGTCATGTCATTTTCAAAAGACCTTGATGATTTGTATACATTTTATTACTGTGAACAGTACTTAAATATAGACATGATAAGACATGTCCTTATTAACATGGGGGCACGGGTGGCCCAGTCGTCTAAGGCACCGCGATTCGCTGTGCAGAGTTGTGTCCCTTGGGCACGCCAGAAACCTATAATTGTGGGTTTGAATCCCGGTTCGCCCCGTTTATGTTTCTAGGTTTGTCAGCACCATACCCGTGCTCGTGGGTTTCACCGAAGTGGTAAACATCTTAGACCTTCATTGCTTCGGGCTTTCCTCCCACATTAAGCCGACACGCCGCGATATAACTGGAATACTGTTAAAAGCGGCGTTAAACCAAACTCACTCACCTTATCAACATCAATACAAAGATGAAGGTGGGAATATTGTTAAATGGTCTCAAAACCATACTCACTCACTCACTAATCATTAATTTATCTGTTTTAACAGAATGCAGTGCAAATGAGTTCCGTTGCACTGATGGACGTTGCATTCCAAGCAGTAGACGCTGCGATGGGACTCCAGACTGCCGCGATCGCAGTGATGAGACTAACTGTGGTAGGTTGCTGAATCTGCAGTTTAGTCAAGTGTTCCATCAGTTGCAGATAAATGCCATGACTGTCACTCATTGCTGTTCAGACACCTGGATCACACTAACAAGACTGCGAGACTTATATTTAGATGTTGGAATATTGTTAAATGGGTCTCCAAAACCATACTCACTCACTCACTAATCCTTAGTTTATCACTGTTTTATCAGAATGCAGTGCAAATGAGTTCCGTTGCACTGATGGACGTTGCATTCCAAGCAGTAGACGCTGCGATGGGACTCCAGACTGCCGCGATCGCAGTGATGAGACTAACTGTGGTAGGTTGCTGAATCTGCAGTTTAGTCAAGTGTTCCATCAGTTGCAGATAAATGCCATGACTGTCACTCATTGCTGATCAGACACCTGGTTCACAGATCAGGGAATAACATGCTTTAACATCACTAACAAGACTGCGAGACTTATAACATATAGTATCTTGTATATTACGGTTCATATCACTATGGGTCGTTACTAATGTCATCATAAATACATTGTTAATGTTATACTTTTTGTCACCATTTAATGAATATTGCAAGCACTATCTAGACTGGTACCCTTGACATTATAAGTTGTTGCAGGATCATGACGGGTTTTATGCGTCCCTCGTTAGGTTTTGTACCATGAGGACCAGACGTCTAGCTCATGGTACAATCTCATTAAAATCAGATCTTAGTTCTCGCTACCGCTAAACAAAGAGAATGTTCTTTTGTTCAGGTTTCAAATTTTTAAGCGAGAATTTGTCAAAATATGTTTTGAAGCATAGTCGCCAATTTGAAATTAGTGCCGTAAAGCACGAGAAAGCTGCCTTCTGATTGGCTAATGTCGACTTCTTGTCAGTATTAAGCGAGAATTTGTCAAAATATGTTTTGAAGCACAGTCGCCAATTTGAAATTAGTGCCGTAAAGCACGAGAAAGCTGCCTTCTGATTGGCTAATGTCGACTTCTTGTCAGTAATTCCATTGGTCGGTCAGAGTTCGCAAAAGGTCGGTCTGACATGACCCGTAATGGGATGTCCTCAGATCTTCGACATTAAAATAATTCAAATAAATTCCAAATTGATAGAAAACAGCTGCTCAATTGAGCTGAGATGAGCTTGTGCTATGTCACGTGACATCCATTGGTAGCTTTTTGCTTTGAAGCGGGGTATAAAGGATTTATTCTGTCTCTCAGAAATCCACGTGCAGCCTGTAGTGCTCTTGGCGGGGTATAAGAAATTTATTCCCCCACTGAGAAATTTATTACCCCCCAAGGCGAGTTACACAGTATTTTATTAAGATCACATTGACCAATCAGATCTCATCATTCTGACATGGAGGTATGATAAACAAGTATATAACCTTAAACATCACGGTTCATATCAAGACGGGTCGTTATTAATGTCATTATAGATACATTGTTAATATTATTATTGATATCACATTGTTAGTAACATGCATATACTAATTTTTTGGTGTGTGTTATTGTCACGAGTAGCACATTGGCTTTGTCACCAGTAATGTTTCGTATATTACCCATAGGGACAGAGATATAAGTGACAATGTTTTCAGTAATTCTCACTGAGTATTTTAATTTTGGCTTCATGTTACTTGCTATTTCATTCCCATTGTCCCATTGTGTTTTTTATTTTTGACCTCTATGATATGAATACATTGTCACAAATAATTGAAGGTGACGTCCTTCATTGTTCATGTCTTGATTGAGATCAGGGTGCCGCTGTACACTGCGAAGTTAGGTGGTCGTAACTCCCATACCTTAACAAAGGCTTACGATCGACGTAGTGCTAAGGTTGTTTTGTACAACTGCACCCAGGAAATCCAGACATTTCTCAATTTTATTAGAAAAAAGACTATGGGTAATATCAGAGATAACCTATCGCAACTGGGAATGATGGATTACCTGCCCCTGAATTAGTGTAGAAAGTACTCAGCCATGGTGCAGAACTTACAACTTGAATTCTGTCGTGACAGATAGTCCGTAACTCCTTGTAGACGGTTGGTTATGTTCTACATCTGTTATAATACTCATCCTCACCGTCCTCATGGAACTAACCACCATATTTCTCTCATGCTAGTGGTCACATGTTCCGCCAATCAGTTCACATGCCAGGATGGTTCGTGTATTGACGCTGCACGTAAATGTGATCGCACGTCGGACTGTGCCGATGGCTCCGATGAATCTGGTTGTGGTGGGTTAATTTCACTAACTTTTAGAGGTAGTATTTATTTTATTGCAATACTCGACCCATATTCACAAAGTGATTGCAGTTCTATGTTTATCGGGACATTGGTGGCCCAGTCATCTTCTCTATGACCATGGATTTGAATCCCAATTCATCCTAATTATATATTTAGGTTTGCCAGCACCATACCTCTGCTCATGGGTTTCACCGTGACTACGTCTATGACTTTCATCGCTTTGGTGTTTCCTCTTGTTCGCACTCACGCTGAAGACCCGGGTTCGATTCCCGACATGGGTACTGTGTATGAAGCCCATTTCTGGTGTCCCCTGCTGTGATGTTGCTGAAATATTGCTAAAAGCAGCGTAAAACCATACTCACTCCTCCTGCATTAAGCTGACACACTGTGATATGACTGAAATACTCTTCACAGCATCTTTAAGCCCGCTCACTCTTTCATTGTCATAAGTCCATGTTAATGTGTATGAGTGACGTAAGTGTAAGAGAGCTACAATCATTTTTGTGAATCTGGATCTCGGGGACTTTTTGTACTGTAATTTTGCTTTGGTTTGAGTGCTTTTAGTATTTTCATATTTACTTATTCTATCAGTGTCATTTGTTTAGTCAAAGTAATAATTTATACATTTCATTTGTTTTGTATATTTGTTAGGATGTATATCATTTCCTTTTGATTTTGAGACCTACCCCTGTATGTTTTACACAAAAGACAACTGTGTGACCAGTCAGTGATAAACCACTGGGAATACATCTTGAGTCTGTATACCCCCCGTTCCACCATTACCCGTGAATACATACAGCTGCTAGGCAGTGTAATCATTATATACACCAACATACAGCTGCTAGGCAGTGTAATCACTATATACACCAACATACAGCTGCTAGGCAGTGTAATCGTTATACTTCACCAACATACAGCTGCTAGGCAGTGTAATCACTATATACACCAACATACAGCTGCCAGGCAGTGAAATCGTTATACTTCACCAACATACAGCTGCTAGGCAGTATAATCGCTATACTCCACCAACATACAACTGCCAGGCAGTGTAATCATTATACTCCACCAACATACAGCTGCGAGGCAGTGTAATCACTATACTGCACCAGCATACAGCCATCATATAGCTGGAAAATTGCCGATAGTGGCATTAAACAACACACAAACAAAATACTTTTAATAGATATGTGTCACTTCTCCACTGTAGAGCAGCCATATATTTTCATGGGTGATGGAAGAACGTCGTGTAGACAACATTAGTATTGCGATGGTACTAAACTTGCTAAATGCAAACAAGTGTATATTCAAGGATGTATGTTTGTGTCATGGTCTGGAGTAGATTTTTCGTTAAGTGTAAGATTGCATGGTGTGAAGATAAAAACAGTTCCATTATGATCATTAACATTGTGACATACAACATCCCATATACTTACACACTGATATTGTCCTTTGTAGCGTGTAAGTCGAATGAGTTTAGATGTCAAAATGGGCAGTGTATCCAAGGCGAACGGCGATGTGATCAACGCCGTGATTGCAACGATGGAAGCGATGAAGAGAATTGTCGTAGGTTTTTCTGTTATGACACATATCTGCTAAATTCCCCTAGTGTCATAGTGTAGCTCTCTAGATGTGGCCCCAACCACTGCTAAATTCCCCTAGAGTCATAGTGTAGCTCTCTAGATGAGACCCCAACCACTGCTAAGTTCCCCTAGAGTCATAGTGTAGCTCTCTAGATGAGGCCCCAACCCACCACCATAGCTGTAACAGTCTACTGTAGGTGGTCACTCCACAAGAAACAATCGAGTAAATATGTATTAAAGTTTTCATATTGGCTTGTTTTTATTGCAACAATTTAATCAGAAGTGCAATATTGTATCCAGTAGACTCTATTGCAACAATTAAATCAGAAATGCAACAATATGTCCAGTAGACTTCCTATTGTAACAATTAAGAGTAGACTTTTTGTTGCAACAATTATTAAATCAGAAGTGCAATGATATATCCAGTAGATTTTCTGTTGCATCAATTAAATCAGAAGTACAACAATGTTTCTGTAGACTTTCTGTTGCAACAATCAAATCAGAAGTACAACAATGTTTCTGTAGACTTTCTGTTGCAACAATTGAATCAGAAGTACAACAATGTTTCTGTAGACTCTGTTGCAACAATTAAATCAGAACACTGTTTCTGTAATTTGAATATACATCTGTTATATTTCTCTTATAAGATTTAGTTAATTGCATGGTTTGAAAAAGCCAAATGAAAATCTAATAATCTTTACACAACATGTACTTAAGTTTGTAGGAATGAAGAAAATAAGAGGAAATTTAACAGTTATAAATAAATCTCAGAATGTTTTTGGTGCGAGTGGCCACCAGTGTCAGTGGAAATCCTTTGTATGAAGTGTGTGTGTGACATGTATCAGGTAGTTAGACTCCATCTGTATCCCTCTGTCTACTCTTCTTACTAGAGGTGTCGAGATACACTTGCTTTGTGTATCGCTGCGTATCCTGATACATGAGTCTAGATACGCTTTTACCTTGTGTATCGCTGCGTATCCCGATACGTGAGTCTAGATACGCTTTTACCTTGTGTATCGCTGCATATCCCGATACGTGAATCTAGATACGCTTACCTTGTGTATTGCTGCGTATCCCGATACGTGAATCTAGATACGCTTACCTTGTGTATCGCTGCATATCCCGATACGTGAATCTAGATACGCTTACCTTGTGTATCGCTGCTTATCCCGATACATGAGTCTAGATACACTTACCTTGTGTATTGCTGCGTATCCCGATACATGAGACAAAATACGCTTTCCTGGTGTATCGCTGCGTATCCCGATACTTGAGTCAAGATACGCTTACTTTGTGTATCGGTGTGTATCTCGATACTTGTAACACATTACGCTCGCTTGTTAAGCTGAGGTATTGTGAAAAAATGAAATTATTGCATTTTTGAAAACTGATACCCAATTAGTGTGATGCATGGGTCGGTGTATTGAGTATCAGGTGTAGATTTGCGATGCATGGATACCTCAGTGAATAGTGACACCATGCTGGTATCCTCTCACGCCACAACAAATCTGTTATTTGTTTGTCATGATCTCTTTCCTGCCTCTCATGCTTGTACAAGATTCTATGATCTCAATAAAGAGCCTATTCACCAAGTTTCTATAAAGAGGCTTAGCTCCATGATCTTGGGTATTATTTTGTTTAAAGGGTCATGGGTGGCCCAGCTGTGCAGAGTTGTGTACCTTTGGTGTGCCAGGAACCTGTGATTATGGGTTTGATTTACCCTGATTACGTTTCTCGGCTTGTCAGCACCATACATTGTTGATTTGTCCAAAGTGGTAAACATCTGAGACTTGCATCACTTCGGGCTTACCTCCCTCGTGAACTTACATGCTGCAATAAACCTGGAATATGGTTAAAACAGCATTGAACCAAACTCACTCACTTTGTTAACCACTAGCTGAGGACAAGAGGTATGTTACTCATATATCAACCAAGACAGAATTTTAAGATATTGTTTCTTCAAAGAGGTAGTTACTATCATTTGAAAACAAAAACAGCAAAGTTTTTTGGCAGTGAGTTGCTCCAAGGGGTGAAATGACAAACAAGTAACGACTTTGCTGTGGACTATAAATGATTGCACCAAGAATGTAAGAAAAGTTGGAAACTATAATTTGAATATCTTTGTCTTTAATTTTCTTCAATACATTCTGCTCGCATTTTTGAAAGAGGACAAGACATATTTCCTTGTTCCCCTAGAAACATGTAGGCATCCATTACACCAGGATTTAGGTTGATGAAACCCTGCTTGTGGAACCGCACTCACTCACTCACTCACTCATCCCTCGCCCATTACCAGGATCAAAAGCTTTGGAGGAATTGTCCCACCTCACCTAATATATTTATTAAGTCTACCAAATATTTGTTTGGGGCTAGTAGCCAAAACACCGTGATATATGACAAGATATATGACAAATCCATAATGCAAGACAAACCCTGTCCATTCTATTCTCAGCCAATCAGAACAAGGAGTCTTTTAGTGGGCGTGGCCTAATTATATTTCGGTTTATGGAAAAATAAACACACAAAAAACTGCTTGCTCAGTCAATTAGATGCCATGGAATCGCTTGGAATTTTTTACGAATAATTAATCTTCCAGGACTCAGTTCTCTTTTTACATGATCTGGAAAAAAACACGTGATTCCTGCATTAGGTTAAGTTGGTTGTAAGGTGAAGGGTGGAACCATTTACAGATCGTAGTGGACGAGTCGTCATCTTGAACATGCATGTATGTCCTCAGAGCATCATCCATCGTATCGAAATAGAATTAGTCCCTAACGTCTGTTCATCCTGACTATTTTGTGATAATGTTTACTCATCCGTATATTGGTTATTGTTGTGTATTATCAATGTCAAATTGTTTGCGTCTATATTTGTATCAGTTTGTTTCATTCCTTGAACAGATTTGCATTTCTGAAAAACGCTGATTGTTTCACATGTTAAAATTCAATTATATAAGTATTTGATTGAAGCTCATTTATTTGAATTTGTTGTTGAATCTGACGTAACATGTACGTCCAGCCATTATTAATTTAGATATGATGTAGAATTAATAGTATTTTAGATTTATCTTATTTTGTGTTTAGCAATAGATTGTGTTTTTAAACAAGTCATATATGGCCTCTTTTCTATCATAATCTCTCAAGTTTGTACCCAGTCCAGTACTAAAAAATATTGACGTGATGTTTAGTTCATTAACACAGTCACCCTAGAATGTAGCCAGCCGATACCTTGAACCACAACCATTCACTGATTCACCTTCTTCACCAGTGATGTAGTTTTACCAGAATTGCATGCATAAGTCTGTCCGTCTGTCTGGTCAGGTGTTGGTTGTCGCTCTAGCCAGTTCCGATGTCGGAGTGGTGAGTGCGTCGATCGTAGGCGCATGTGCGATGGACGCCGCGACTGTAGAGATCGCTCAGATGAATATAATTGTCGTAAGTAACGTAACGTGATCAGAAAAGACATGGATCACATCAACACGGCCGTATCCTAGCGGCTGCCTTGAAGGACTGGCGGGCATGTCCAGCATATCTATGTCTCCATACACGTTGCAGGCCCCTGCTGTGGCCGTTCCTTTGAACATGTATGAATTCATTGATTGAAGTTGGAAGTCATTCTTCTCAGTTAATGCAAAGTTGGCTATATTACCAGAAATTAATACTGGTATCAACAAATACTATGCACTGGAGACCAATATTGTTTGAAATTTCTGTATGAATCTAAAAAATTCAAACTTCATTATCAAGGACACAAAACAAGGGCAGATAACTCTAAGCTCATATTGAGCATGTTTCATTTGGGCCTGCACATCCAGTCATTGTGCTGACATGGCCGCATAGATTTTTGTCCCTGGTTTGTATTTTCTGAGTCAAAATTGAGATATCTTAATATTTAAGTTCATTTCTTACGTCATGGCTAATTTTGCACTGGCTGTGGGGTTATTTTCAACAGCCTGTGTTAAGCACAGGGACGTGGTTCTGTAGATACTTTTGAAACTCAATCATGTCGTCAGAACCAGGTGCCCTAGATGCTTCAGGATCCTTTAGCATATAGTGAGCCTCTTCTTCAAGGCAGCATTCAGAATATGGCCGTGTGCTTCATTTTCATATCGCTTCATTTGCCAAAAGTCGGAACTTTTAGATTTTGGAAAACATTTTTGGGTCATAACTGCAAATTATATCAATAATGCCCAAATTTGGGTATGTTGTTTCTTATTTTAATTCTCTTTATGGGAAACAATTTCAAATGAAAAACAATTGTATGTATTCAAAGTACCAATTTGATCATAGTCTTGCGTTGAATTTCTCATATGTTGTAGAAATATTTTATTTATTTGTTTTCATTGTCACATTCCCCATGTTGGTTTTATTTGTGCATGAATTGATGATCCTGTTCATTAACATGTTCTCCTCTAACAGAAATTTAATTCGATTTAACAAACTTACTGAATGCAAGCTACATGTTAAAACCAACAGGAGTTACTGTATTCTCTGTATTAACTGCCCTTGGTTCTCGAATACATTACTTATGGGGAGGTTCACCAGGGCTAGACATTTTTGTTTTGGTTGTTGAAAGTCCACCCAGAGTTTTGAAAAGCAAAAATAACAAAAAAGGAAAATAAATTCTATTGAATGTATCCTCAAAGCCAAAAGAATCTCGAATACCATGCATGTTGATTCATATATGAAGAATTACTCATATTCAAGAGTTATTAGATTGGTTGTGTGAACTGACACTCATGAACACATAACTTCTGGCATCACAGATCCATGACTCGACAAGGCCGTAGTTAACTTTTTTTGGTAGGGGGGGGTGGCAAATAAGATTATTTCTTTTTTATTGAAGTTAACTTTCACAAGGAAAAATGTTTTCTGTAAAAAATCCCCCCCCCCCCTTCTGGCTACGGCACTGCTCGAGATGCACCATTTGTCTCGTGCAGGATTAATGTGTAAAGTTTGGAAATCATGTGCAGAATATCGTGATAAGAATAAAGACACTCTGTGTAACACTTGACTGATTGTTAGTTTTGTCATTAAGTGGTACACACTGGAAACATCTCTTCTTAACATACATACTTCTCCATATGTTTCTATTGTTCGCGTTTCTTTTGGCGGTTTCAATTTTTTTTGTTAAAAAGCATACTTATGTTCATGAAGCAATTAGGGAAATGTCAGATGGGGTATTCTTCAGGGGGCATGAAGGTGAAGGGCATTCAATACATCGAATTCAGTAATTCTAAAAATATTAAACGCAAAGCGTAACAGATTGGCCAGATGGTTGTGTGCAGACATTACAAGCAGGAGTTGATGTTACTTTCAGCAACAACTCCCTCTTTGACCTGCACTCCGGGTCAGTTTCGATGTGGCAATGGCCAGTGTGTTGACGCTGGGTTACGATGCGATGGACGAGTTGATTGTACGGATAGGTCTGACGAAACTCGTTGTCGTAAGTAGCTTTGTTGCAAGGGAATGGTAGTTTCTCAGTGGCTTTGACTTCCAGAAGTTTAGACACCAGTGTCACATGTGGGAGAAGGTGGTGTTGGAGCTTTAAATAGTGCTCAGGCCCTCCTGCCTCAATAAAACAGCCCAGTATTAGAGGACATTTTAGTTCATGGTCAGCACACGAAGTTAATAAAATATCACATTCAGTATTTTGAATTTCTTGGAAACAAAAATCTCTCACTCACAGCCTTAAAATTCCGTCTTTTTTACGACTAGTTCAGACAAATTGTAAATTTTATTTTGCTGCTCGTCCTGCTTTCCCACTTGAATGAGACAAAACTGTTTGGTATGTTTTCATTTTCTGTCAGGTTTGTCCAGCTCCAATTTGTAGCAAAATCGAAGCATAGAGAACTGGTTCAGAATTACAGCCCTCAAATTCTACAAGTCTTTGAGGACTACCATCATTGAATTTTAACTTGCCCTAGACATAATGTAGTAGTCTCAGACTTGTGGACTAGCATGAATTTCAAAGTCTGTCTCACTCACTCACTCATGGTGATAAGTGCCCCTGTTTGCTCATCACTCCAAACGACCTGTGTTTGATTCCCAACATGGGTACAAATTGTAAAGCCCATTCCTTGTGTCCTCCGTCGTGATATTGCTGGAATATTGCTAAAAAGCAGCATAGCACCAAACTCAGTCACTTTCTGCAAAGCATCTCTTTCTCTGTATGGTACAATCTGTCAGTAGTGGACGGTATTGCCCCGCCAGACCAAGAAACACATCCTTCTCTCACATGTATAGTTGAACAATTCTTGTAAGGTACTTGCAATAATTTAGGACTTTTACTTCCTCTCAAGTAGACCTAGATCCTCTGTAAACCTCCGTCCAGCATCTGTCCAACGTCTATGATATGTTACCACTGTTTTACAATAGGCTTGTTGCATTGGTTATATTGTTTTGTCTGTTCTTATGTGAACATGTAACAATTGTTTACCATGTCCGTATTTATATTTACCAGATGTGCATGCTAGTCAACAAGAAAAACGTGTTTAAAACAAAATTGCAGAAATTCAATTTTTCTGTTGAATTTTTCCATTAACAAAATAAATAACTAAACCAATGTGAACTAATGAGTTATGAACACTCCACAGCACTGTATGAGAGCTTTGATCTGTGTTCAATGTTCAACTAATCTTTTCTCATATAATTATCGTTTTCTGTTTTTTGAAAGAGTCAATGAAATGCTGCACAAATGTCTCTTGTGTTGTGGCTTGATGTTCTTTTTCAGGTCTGCTTACCAAATTTATTTTAATCTTTTCTTGCCTAGATAGTTTCAGCTTTCTATTTAATGGGAATTATTATCTGTTGTCTGATATGTTTATTTGAAGGCATTTTTTAAAATGTCTCCATGCTTTCAAATTAGCCATATTAACATCAATTCAGAATTTGAAAATATTTTGTCATTTTACATTCTTTGAACAGACAAGAAGCTGAAAATATCTACTGAGACGTAGACCAAGGAACATGGCTAATTAATAAGTAATTAATTTCAGCCTCTAGAAGGACCTGCAGAGATGGGCAGTTTCTGTGTGGCACTGGCCACTGCCTTGACAATAGCAGGGTTTGTGATGCCAGACCTGATTGCCCTGACGGGTCTGATGAACAAAACTGTAGTAAGTAACGGTAGCATGGGCTCTTGACCCTCCAGATGGCGCTGCAACATAGAGTTATTCCCCTTTGTCAAGGTCAGGACAGTTACAGATTGTCCCAGTGTGTGTCAATGTCTGTTCCTTGTCCATGTTTCATGTTTGGATGATCACTGCACAATAGTCTAGATGAATTCAGCTTTTCCATCTTCCTGAAAACTTTGACTTACTATGTTAATTCACACTTCGCAAAATGTGCACAAACCTTAAGCTGATTAATTGTTTTAACGATTTCTCACTTGTTATGATAGTAACGAAGCACAAATAATCTTGTGTAAATTTGTTTCAAATGTCCATGTCATTTGTGTATGTCAATCCATCTGTAAACTTCCTTGTGGTCTGCCTTTCCTCTATTAACATTATTATCTCCCCTGGCTGAGGAATTCTTCTTTATAATGTGGAAGAATTTCCCCAGTCAGTATAACCTTACTTACGACTGATCCTTTTACTACAAAGGTGAAGGTCAGAAGGTTGGAGGTCATCTGCTTTCTAGATTGACTGTCCATGACCTTGACATTGGTTTCAGCGCCATCTTGCACTAAAATTCAAAGTGAGGCCAGAGATGGTGGTAGCTAGGGAATCAGTGCATTTTGGAATGAATTTAATTGGGGTTTCTGTACTTTTAGCCTGTCAAGAGGACCAATTTACCTGTGCTAACGGCCAGTGTATTCCCAAGTCAGGGTTCTGTGATGGACGCGCAGACTGTCGTGACCGTAGTGACGAGGGCGACTGCCGTAAGTATTTCAAATATTTCAATCTGTGAACGATTTTTTATTGGTCTGTTCAGAGATTTGATAGAATGTATTTTGCTTGAAATGATCGGAGATCCCCAAACCTGTGGAATAGTGATGTCCTTCTGAAAGGCATGATTTCATCGATTGGTAGAAATTGTTATGATTAAATAATAATCCTTGCTATCAGCTGCTTGTTCAAAGTTTTCTCATTCCTGAAAGTAAGTTTATAATTACCAACGAATTTTCATACTTCAACATAATTACCAATGCTGGCATAATAAAAGTATACCTTTCCTTATTTGTAAGAAGTCTCTGCTAAAAGTTGATTGTATGATGTCAACTTTATCATGAGCATGTGTTAATGAATCACCATGAAATAGTGTTTTCAAAAACGTATCCTGCCTCACCGGCGGTACTGTCATAAACACATGCAAAGTCAAGTCAATTATTCACTAATGAATGAGCCATGCTGTAACTGCCAGGTTGCATATCCATCATCAAATCTGCATTTGAATAGGAGGCTTATTATGCTAATCCAGTATACCATTTTTCCTCATACAAATGGGGGCACGGGTGGCCCAGTCGTCTAAGGCGCCGCGATTCGCTGTGCAGAGTTGCGTCTCTTGGGCACGCCAGAAACCTATGATTGTGGGTTCGAATCCCGGTTCGCCCCGATTATGTTTCTAGGTTTGTCAGCACCATACCCGTGCTCGTGGGTTTCACCGAAGTGGTAAACGTCTGAGACCTGCATCACTTCGGGCTTTCCTCCCACATTAAGCTGACACGCCGTGATATAACTGGAATACTGTTAAAAGCGGCGTTAAACCCAACTCACTCACTCACTCACTCATCATACAGATTGTTTGACTTGTTTGTAGTGTAAGTTGTTACGTTGTAGCCGTGCAGACCTGTGGCAGTGACCAATGGACCTGCACCAACGGGGAGTGTATCAGTTTGGCTGACCGCTGCAACCGCAGATACGACTGCCGAGATGGCACTGATGAATTTGAATGCCGTAAGTTTCAGTATTCAACATTCAACATTCAACATTTAAATATCACTCATGCACTGAAGATGAATACCTGTGAAGATTCGGATTAGAATAGGTCTTCAGCAACCCACGCTTGCCATATAAGGCGACTAAGCTTGTTGTAAGAGGCCTCTAACGGGATCAGGTGGTCAAGTTCGCTGACTTGGTTGATGCATGTCATCGTATCCCAATTGCATACTTCAATGCTCATGATATCAATCACTGGATTTTCCGGTCCAGGCTTGATTATTTTCAGACCGCCCTCATATAGCTGGAATATTGCTGAGTGAGGCGTTAAACAACAAACAAACTGAAGAAAACCTTGACTACCGCCTTGTATGTTGCTAACTTTGATAGTGCCCGGTTTGATCTCACATCCAGGACTCAAGCACTTGATGTTCTTTTTGTAATGGACCTACCATTTAATATTTTTGAAGGAATCAAATGCTCTTTTTGGGACTTACCACAACATTATTTTTCTGATCAACCAGTATGTCCAGCAAACTAGTCTTTTGTGTGGGGCAAATCCTAGAAAAAATTATTTTCAGGAACATTTGTTTTTGTGTTTTTATTAATCATTGAACCCCAATAGCTGACTGAACTGAGATGGCAATGAATGATTTGAATGATACCCTATTGCTCAGAAACACAGGGTAATATTGATTTCTCAGGGTCAATCATGAATTAACAACCATCTATTGCAGCGCCCCCTGGCTGCCGCTCTGACCAGTACCGTTGCAGTAACGGCCAGTGTATCAGTACCGCAGCTCGCTGCAACAGGCAGTTTGATTGTTCTGATCGCAGTGACGAACAGGATTGTCGTAAGTGTTTCGTATTCCATGCATTTTTGGGATTCTAGGGGGAAATATTGGCTTGACATTAATATTCTCTTCACTATGGCGATTCTTGTTTCATACTGGGTTTCATACCTGAGATTCTAGGTTTCATACCTGAGCTTGTGGGATTCATACCTGTGATCATGGGTTTCAAACCTGTGATTATGGGTTTCAAACCTATGATTATGGGTTTCATACCTGTGATTATGGGTTTCATACCTGTGATTATGGGTTTTATACCTATGATTATGGGTTTCATACCTGTGATTATGGGTTTCATACCTGTGATTATGGGTTTTATACCTATGATTATTGGTTTCATACCTATGATTATGGGTTTGATACCTGTGATTATGGGTTTCATACCTGTGATTATGGGTTTCATACCTGTGATTATGGTTTCATTCCTATGATTATGGGTTTCATACCTATGATTATGGGTTTCGTACCTGTGATTATGGTTTCATACCTATGATTATGGGTTTCATACCTGTGATTATGGGTTTCATACCTGTGATTATTGGTTTCATACCTGTGATTATTGGTTTCATACCTGTGATTATGTGGGCTTCACCAAAGTAGTTAACATCTACCACCTGTGTCACTTTCCTCCTCATCAAGCTGAAATATTACCTGAAACACTGTTTAAGGTGGCATTAAACCCAACACACTGACTGACTCAGTCGTCAGCTGAAGACAGTAGGGTGTAAACATACAACTACCTATTTGTTGCAGCTCCAGTCGAGTGTGGCGAGAACCAGTTCACCTGCAAGAATGGCCAGTGCATCAGCTCTGCTGAACGTTGTGATAGGAAATATGACTGTTCTGATGGCAGCGATGAACAGGAGTGTGGTAAGTGGCAACAGAAGGGAATCGGGACATGTATCTTTGTCTCATTAAATTGGGGCCATGGGGTAGCCTCGTGGTTAAAGTATTCACTCATTTTATCAAGGGGGGCATGGGTGGCCCAGTTGTCTTAAGGCGATGCGATTCGCTGTGCAGAGTTGCATCCCTTGGGCACGCCAGAAACCTATGATTGTGGGTTCAAATCCCGGTTCGCCCTGATTATGTTTCTAGGTTTGTCAGCACCATACCTATGCTCGTGGGTTTCACGGTGAGTGGTAAAGTGGTAAAACTCATGCATATTCAATGTCCAAACAACCCATTGATACCAAAGGAAGGAAACAGAAAACGTGCAGGCTCGCTCGACTGTTATTTTTCCCGCTCGCCTCGGTTCCACAACTTTCATGTCCCCGGGTTTCATTTGTAATTGCCATTTTCCTCGTGTGTCTTCTCATTCTCTGGGAACTAATGTTTGAATCTGGCGGTAACTGACCATGTCATTTGAAACAGCCGCCACCTCCTCCCGGACATATTTGTTCTGGCTTGTTACAGTCTGACTGCTTGACAGGTCATATGAGCATTGTTTTGATCCTACTCTCCGTTGATTGGCTACTGACTTTGTGAATCTGCAGCCCTGGCAGATATATTACATTGTGTGGGTCCTGTTTCAAGTAATGTTTCTATTTCAGTGCCAGACAAAGTAGTGGCGTGCACAGAGGACCAGTTCACCTGCAAGAATGGCCAGTGCATCAGTTCTGACGAGCGCTGTGATAGAAAATATGACTGTACGGATGGCAGCGACGAACAGGAGTGCGGTATGTTGGTCATGAGTAGCATTAAGAAAATAGTCATCCATTTCAAGGGGGCACAGGTGGCTCAGTCGTCAAAGGCGTCGCAGTTCGCATTGCAGAGTTGCGTCCTTTGGGCGTGCCAGAAACCTATGATCATGGGTTCGAATCCAGGTTCACCCTGATTATGTTTCTAGATTTGTCAGCACCATACCCATGCTCGTGGTAAACGTCTGAAACCTGCATCACTTTAGGCTTTCCTCCCACATTAAGCTGACATGCTATGATATACCTGGAATACTGTTCAAAGCAGCGTTAAACCCAACTCACTCACTAAATTGCATGGGTCCAGCTTGAGATTTTGAGAAAAACTTTTACTGCAGAATGTAGGACGCTAGTTGTGAGCCTTATATAATATTTCAGTTCCCCAAAGCTGCCGATCAGATCAATTCCGTTGCAACAGTGGCCAGTGCATCAGCTCGGAGGGACGGTGCAACCGACAGTACGACTGTTCTGATGGCAGTGATGAGCTGGAATGTAGTAAGTTGAAGTGTTTTTCCATATCATAAATATTATATATTTCAATATTTTAAATGCTTCCAGAATAATTTGTATATTTTTAACTTATAATGTCATACTTGTTAAATACATATTATTTTGCACAATGAAATAACGTTGGCCTGATGGGTCAGATGAAAAAGTTGTAGTAACGGTAGCATGGGCTCTTGACCCTCCAGATGGCGCTGCAACATAGAGTTATTCCCCTTTGTCAAGGTCAGGACAGTTACAGATTGTCCCAGTGTGTGTCAATGTCTGTTCCTTGTCCATGTTTCATGTTTGAATGATCACTGCACAATAGTCTAGATGAATTCAGCTTTTCAATCTTCATAAAAACTTTGACTTACTATGTTAATTCACACTTCGCAAAATGTGCACAAATCTTAAGCTGATTAATTGTTTTAACGATTTTATCACTTGTAATGATAGTAACGAAGCACAAATAATCTTGTGTAAATTTGTTTCAAATGTCCATGTCATTTGTTTATGTCAATCCATCTGTAAACTTTGTTGTGGTCTGCCTTTCCTCTATTAACATTATTACCTCCCCTGGTATGGCACCACAAGAGTCTGAATCATCTGCATTTCAGACTGACTGTCCATGACCTTGACATTGGTTTCAGCGCCATCTTACCCTAAAATTCATAGTGAGGCCAGAGATGGTGGAAGGTAGGGAATCAGTACAACATGGCAAGTATTAATCTATGTTTCTGTATTTTCAGCCTGCCGAGAGGACCAATTTACCTGTGCAAGCGGCCAGTGTATTCCCAAGTCAGGCTTCTGTGATGGACGCGCAGACTGTCGCGACCGTAGTGACGAGGGTGACTGTCGTAAGTGTTTCAAATATTTCAGTCTGTGAACTGGTTTCTGTTGGTCTGTTCATAGATTTGATAGAATGTATTTTGATTGAAATGGTCTTAGAACCCCAAACCTGAAGAAAATTAATGTCCCGAAATACATCATTGTTAATTGGTATAAACTGTATTTTGGCCTATTCATAGAATTTGATGGAATATATTTTGAATTAAATGGTAAAAGAACTCAAGACTTTAAATTTAGTGTCCGTAGTTCATAAGAAAATCAATTGTATTGGAGAACCCTAAACCTGAAAGAATATTGATTGTCATCTGCAGGTATATATCGGATCATGATACCAAGTTTATAGGATCTGTCACATCAATAACACTATTATTACATGATAGATTGGTGTATATTGCTTGGAATCTAGGATGAAACATGATGCTTGTTATAATCCTGTAAAAAAAGAAGACATCGACTTGGTTTGTTATTTAGAAAGTAGCTTCTGTGAGGCAAGAATTGATGTAATGGGTTTTGATGTTTTGATGGGTTTCGTATCCGTGACCTTGAACTTTCCAGCACCTGCAGAATGTCGCGATGACCAATACCAATGCAGAAATGGTCAGTGTATCAGCAAAGCTGACCGCTGCAACCGCAGATATGACTGCGCAGATGGCAGTGACGAACAGGAATGCCGTAAGTTGCATGTTTCCTGTTGCTATGAATGCTGGGATGAATATCTCGCCTTTGATCTGAATGAATCTACCCCAGGGAACAACCAATTAATTTTAACAGTGTTCGAAATTCATCTGAAAAGGAATTCTGTCCTTAATTTAAAAATTAACTTCATTTGGAAAAGTAGAAAGTTTTCATGAAAATCAGTACGACTGAAACATTGTCAGTTTGTGATCGGAAACTGGCAGATGGGCATTTTCGAACACTGAATTTAGACGTTGATGTGTGACATACCCTCCACCTTATTTAGATACAGAACCTAGGTTACCGAGCACATACGCTTCTTAGTGTCCCAGGATGCGTTGTTTGTTTTCTCCAGAACGAGGCACTACGAACAGCACTCCTTAGATATGCTTTGTTTCCTGAAGTTTAACAATTGAGGGACTTCCAACCAAACACAGAATTCATTAAATTAATTTCAGGTTGTCACAATAAGGATTGAATTATCAACATGAATCAACAATTAATTGATAGGTGTGTCCAATGTTCCCATTTGAGAAAGAGGAATTACATATAATTTTTGCAAATTCTGGCGTACACTAAAAACTGCGAAAGAGGCAATTTAGCTGAATTTACAGAGAAAAGAGCGATCAGTGATGGAGATGTACTTGTCTGCCACCCTGCGAAATTAACTACAACACGAGGGCGAATATTTGATAGAGAACTTTCAACAAACAGTCACTATTTTCAGTTCATGTATCTAGAAATACCTGTATACTCACGGGTTCTGTCAAATAAGAGTTAGTGTTTTTTAGTTTATATTTTCCATGCAGATTACCTGTTTTGTAAATACTGCATGCTTATATAAACCTCCCTTGCTTTAGTCTCTTGTGCTATAACTATAATATTGCACCAGAGATCTAGTCCTGAACAGCCATTGGTCAAAGAAATGAGTCACATGACATACCGGTTGTACTGGCGTGGGACAATATGAATCTGTTCTATTGGGGATGAGTCTTTATGAAATTTCTCAGTGTAGTTTTCATTATAATAACTTGAACAAATTAATTATTTTTTATGTTTAAATTTGTATACCGTGTTTTATTTGTTGTGTGACTCATTTCTTATTAACAAAAAACAGGTAATTTGCATTTGTGAAATTTGACAGGTCATCAGGTTCAAATTATGAATATCAACATGGCAAAATAATGACAGCAGCAGATAGAGAGGGGAGTGCAAAAAATGTACATGTCTAAAGTAAGATCGGAAGTAATGATGAAATCTAAAGAATGTGTGATATATGTTGATATTAATTTATGGTCAGTTTGCTATTATGTAAAATGGACATAAGATTTTATATGCGCCTATGAAATTCTGTGAGTTTGGAATCAGACACAAGATTGAGTTTTGTGCAGAGAGGTTTTCAACTACGTCCCCATGGCAGGCAAAATGGGGAGAAACTTTGTTTTGACCAAAATTGGGATTTATTAAGAGTACTTAATTCCTTAAATTGAAAGGTATTTAGCATTGAATTCAATTCAGTAATCATCTTGACTAAAATTTGAAAGTCTTCTTTTTTGGTCCTTGTATTACTGAAATATATACCACTTTTGAGAAACTAAAATATTTATATTAAAAAAAAATTTCATGACCTTATATTGGTGTTTTGTTATGCCATTTTCCTTATTCCTGGCCTCTGGGAATGCCTTGATATATACCTGCCTGTGTGCTTCCTCAGCCTGGTCGTCTAATCCTTCTACGATTGTGTTTGGATATATGAAAATGAGGTTATGTTTGGCACATGGATCCTTTCCCGTCTTTGTTTCTCAATCTCCAAGAATATCCCAAAACTTATTTTGCACTCCACTGACTAGTCGGAACCATGTCTTGTTGCCATGGGAATGTTTGACTTTCTACTGTTGCATGAGGTAGACAACTCTCTGATTGACAGCACCACCTGGTTGCCGTTCCGACCAATTCCGGTGCCAGAATGGGCAATGCATCAGCCGAGCTAGTCGTTGCAATCGCAGATATGACTGCGCAGATGGCACTGACGAATTTGATTGTCGTAAGTTCCTGCGCGCTAACTGGTGACAGTAAAATAAGAAAGTGCTTGAGATGTTTATTTATAAATTTGGCCAGAATTATATTTACCGCTTCTTTGATGGTGGTTAAAATGATTTTAGAATTATTTATTTTCGAAAGAAGGCCTAGCAATTAAAGCTTGATTTGAAAACATTGACATCAATCATTTTAGAAACGTGTAACATCTCATCACTTTCTAAGACAAAAAGGTTTCATGTCAAACAGGATTCTAATTTCAGTTAAAAACATTTATTTGCCAGATATGAAAATATATCATTGCTTGTATTAACAAATTTGGACACAGAAAATATTTCATGTGATGCTTATATTTCAAGGTCATAAGATAATGATATAAAAGAAACTGTTTGACATGTTGACCTTGAGTGACTTTCATCTCACCAGGACCCAATGTCCGGGTGGGTTTCTGGTATTGCCGTTGTCCATCATAATGTCCATCATAAAGTCCATCATATTGTCCATCATATTGTCCATCATCTCCGAGTGTCCATAGGGATGACAATGCATTAATACTGTAGAACCAAATTGGGACTAAGATTGATACATGTCATTATGATCTAACATTGAGGATGGGTTGAAATATAAAATTGAAGAACCTTCTCAGAAATCAGAAAAAATAGAAATTGGGGGCTCTTGTTAGAATATAATTTTGGTGAGAGAAAAAAGTCGAAAGATTGAAAATTTTGTGGTTGATGGTGAAAGCCTGATATTATACACGACAGATACATTTTCCAGAATTTAATTGCCCATAATTAAGGTTGCATATAACACACGACTGTATATTATGCACAAATAAATAAGTGTACATTGATCAATTGGAAGGGCTGCTAATTGGGATTGGGATGAAAATGTGAATGGTTCACTGAAAATCAGTGATGACACCAGGTGTTCGCGATAAGACACTGATGTACCATCTTAAACATACTTCTTTAAATGTCCTGCTTTTAATGTATGGGTGAGCTACAGTGCCTTGGTGCAATATTTGTCATCATATTCTTATTTAATGTCATGCGTTTACGCTTCTATAGATTGCAGTTGCTTGTACTTCGATCATACTTACATTTCATGCGAAATTAATGATTTTCAATTGAATGCCACAAGACTAATGCGTTCACAATGTCACAAAATCCCAAACCCTTCAACCCTGCAAATACTGTTCCATATAAAATGTTGCATGTTGCTTTGAAAATACCATGCTTAAAAACCCCATCCCAGAAACACCTTAGTCAGTGCATAGAGCCCTTCCTGGGAGGAAGCTGGTTGCTTATAGCTGCATAGTTTATTCAACTCACGAATGCTGTCGCAACGCAGTGATCATTGCCACACTGATCTAAAGAACGCGGCGGCACAACGTCAAATTCGCCATATTGCATCAGCAGCAGCGGCAGCAACGCAAGCATATTTTGGTCCGCATGACCAAGAGAAGCCTTTTTTGCATTTCTAGGTCATCAAGAGGTTGGCAGTGTCTTGCAGTCTTTGTGTGCCAAACACTATGCATTGATGCTCTTTGAGTTTCTCATTTGCACCGACTTATCTTTCACACTCAATCAGTGAAAATATGATTTAAAAAATATTTTGGAAATTTTGTGGCTGGCATTTATCATTTGATACTGGAAGACAAATATCGGTTGTCCTTGAGATGAATCTATTCTTTGGAAGAAATAGTGTTACAAGTTTCTGTAAAATGTCATGAAAAAGAAAAAAGAATTATTTCTGAAATTATGTTCAGCTGAAAATAAGCATATGATTATTCGAGGCTAATATGAATAGTCCATTAAGTTTCAAAGACATCTCAGAAATCACTTGTAAATGTTCCTTTCGAAATAATATTCAAAGTTTCTGAAAAATACGAAAGAGCCTGTAATAAGTTGTGCTGATGTCCAACAGAGCAGGAAAGAGTCGACATCTCTGTCGTGCCAGCAACGATGAGAGTCCGGGAAGGCAGAGAAGCCGTGTTTGAGTGTCAAGTGACTGGATCCACTTCGAGTGTTGTGCGCTGGAGTCGGGCTGGTGACAGGGTGAGTCTTAATGCTCAAGTCACGGGAGGGGCAGTTGGTAGCCTAGTGGTTAAAGCATTCGCTTGTCTTGCTTAGGACCCATGGGTACAATGTGTGAAGCTCATTGCTGGTGGCCCCCGCCATGATTTATATTGCTAAATGGGGCATAAAACCATACTTACTCACTCACTCAGGGGGTGATGGGATAGTCTCGTGGTTAAAGCAATCGCTCAGCATGCTGAAGGCCTGGGTTTGATTCCTCACATGGACATGGTGTCCCTGTTGTGACATTGATTGAAATGTTGCCAAAAGCACCAGTGTTACATCCCTTAGATGCTCAAGAAACCTATGATTGTGGGTTCGAATCCCGGTTCTAATTTTCTAATATCGAGGGTGAGATTCTCTATATTGAGTATGAATAATATGAAGAGAATGCTATTTCAGTAGGGTGCTATTTGATGCAGTGTTTGTACAGAGAGGAGACATGTTGATACTGCGTGTAGATATCTGTAGGTCTGAGTATCAGATGTGTCCATGGTCTGTCAGCACCATTCATGTTGTCAGAGACTTCATCTAAGTAGTCCTTGTTCTTCTGCACTTGAGCTTTCCTCCCACCCTGAACTACCACATGTGATATATGTACAATATTGTAAAAACTCATCTGTTGCATCAACTTTTCAGCCTCTGCCTCTCAGTGCGAACCAGTTGAATGGACGCTTGTCCTTCCGCGGCGTGACTCAGGAAGATGCTGGTGACTACATCTGTACCGCCACAAGCACCTCCGGCAGCTACACCTCAACAGCCAGACTCCAGGTGGACTTCAGTGAGTGTACCCTCATCCTGCATCTGAATGGGGTCTCTTAGACTACTATCCTGCATCTGAATGGGAGACTCTTTAGACTACTATCCTGGATCTGAATGGGGGTCTCTTAGACAACTATCCTGCATCTGAATGGGGGTCTCTTAGACTACTATCCTGGATCTGAATGGGGGTCTCTTAGACTACTATTCTGGATCTGAATGGGGGTCTCTTAGACAACTATCCTGGATCTGAATGGGAGACTCTTTAGACTACTATCCTGCATCTGAATGGGGGTCTCTTAGACTACTATTCTGGATCTGAACGGGGATCTCTTAGACAACTATCCTGGATCTGAATTGGGGTCTCTTAGACAACTATCCTGGATCTGACTGGGGGTCTCTTAGACAACTATCATGGATCTGAATGGGGGTCTCTTAGACAACTACCCTGGATCTGAATGGGAGACTCTTTAGACTACTATCCTGCATCTGAATGGGGGTCTCTTAGACTACTATCCTGGATCTGATTGGGGGTCTCTTAGACAACTATCCTGGATCTGAATGGGAGACTCTTTAGACTACTATCCTGGATCTGACTTGGGGTCTGTTAGACTACTATCCTTGATCTGAATGGGTGTCTCTTAGACAACTATCCTGCATCTGACTGGGGGTCTGTTAGACTACTATCCTTGATCTGAATGGGTGTCTCTTAAACTACTATTCTGGATCTGAATGGGGGTCTCTTAGACAACTATCCTGGATCTGAATGGGAGACTCTTTAGACTACTATCCTGCATCTGAATGGGGGTCTCTTAGACTACTATTCTGGATCTGAACGGGGATTTCTTAGACAACTATCCTGGATCTGAATTGGGGTCTCTTAGACTACTATTCTGGATCTGAACGGGGGTCTCTTAGACAACTATCATGGATCTGAATGGGGGTCTCTTAGACATCTATCCTGGATCTGAATGGGAGACTCTTTAGACTACTATCCTGCATCTGAATGGGGGTCTCTTAGACAACTATCCTGGATCTGAATGGGAGACTCTTTAGACTACTATCCTGGATCTGACTGGGGGTCTGTTAGACTACTATCCTTGATCTGAATGGGTGTCTCTTAGACAACTATCCTGGATCTGACTGGGGGTCTGTTAGACTACTATCCTTGATCTGAATGGGTGTCTCTTAAACTACTATTCTGCATCTGAATGGGGGTCTCTTAGACAACTATCCTGGATCTGAATGGGAGACTCTTTAGACTACTATCCTGCATCTGATTGGGGGTCTCTTAGACAACTAACCTGGATCTGATTGGGCGTCTCTTAGACAACTATCCTGGATCTAAATGGGAGACTCTTTAGACTACTATCCTGGATCTGACTGGGGGTCTGTTAGACTACTATCCTTGATCTGAATGGGTGTCTCTAAGACTTCTATCCTGGATCTGAATGGGGGTCATTTAGTCTACTATCCTGGATCTGAATGGGGTCTCTTAAACTACTATTCTGGATCTGAATGGGGATCTCTTAGACTGCTATCCTGCATCCGAATGGGGGTCTCTATGATCGTAACCTTGACCTAGACTTAAGACAGTCGTAGCTGTAAGGTTGTTTTGTACATCAGTACACCTGGAGGTGAATGGATCACTCTTGCTCTGCTATACTGGAAGTGTTTAATGTGTGTCTCTCATGGACTTTCATTCGACCTGTATTGTTTCTAGTTGGACCTCCAACTCAGCGTCCCGATATCTCTGGTGCTTGTGGTGTTGATGAGGCTACCTGCGCCAGTGGAGAGTGTATTCCACGTGACTACCTTTGTGATGGAGAAAACGATTGCACGGACAAGTCGGATGAAACCAACTGCAGTAAGTTATTTCCCTTTGACGATGTAATCAGTCCAATTATGTATTTTCCTTTAGAAATTTGGTTTGGTGTATGTCGGACCTTTATTGCGTGAACATCAATGGAGAGAAAAGACCCCAATGTGCAATTATTGTTTAATAACTTGGATGAAGAGGGTGAGTTGATGGATTGCATTAAATCAGTTACAGTGTTATGTTCATCCCATTGTTAGACAGGAAACATGTAATAAGATATTTGAAGGATATGAAATGGAAAATGTATCTTTTTGTCTAGATTTTGCTCTGCCATGTGAACCTAATGAGTTCCGCTGTGCCAATGGCCGCTGTGCGATGAAGATCTGGAGGTGCGACGGTGACAATGACTGCGGTGATGACTCAGACGAGACCAACTGTCGTAAGTAGTCAATATAGGTTCCATGCTGTAACCCTGTGGAGATTCGGAGTAGGACTGGTCTCGGGCAAGTTATATGACTTCATGGACTGGGTGGTCAGGCGAAGTGGTGTGGCTGCTTTTGTGACTTGATACCTTGATATCCTGGGACACTGCTCATTATGCAGTGCGAATGGAAAAACAAGAAAAAAAAGCTTCTTTCTTCAATCCCGGAATTGTAGAAGTTTAATTATTTGGTCAAGGGATTATGATTCATGTCATGTGTAACATTGTTATCTGATGAAAAACTCAGTCTATTATTTGTTTAACACCGCACTAAGCAATATCCCAGCTTTATGACGGCGGTCTGTAAATAATCTAGTCCGGACCAAACAAACCAGTGATTGATATCATGAGCATCAATCCACACAATAGGGAAAGGACATGCATCACCCTAGTCAGTAAGCCTGACCACCCGATCCTGTTAGTCACCTCTTTCGACAAGCTGAAGTTGGGTTGCTGAAGACCTATTCTTACCCAGATCTTCCCGGGCGTCAGGAAGAGTACCATTACTGATTGATATCCTGGGAAGGTATTACAAGCGTTTAAAGAATAGACGGAATCATTTGCTTCAGACATCAATCATAATCAATAATGTCAGTTGAACTCACAAGTTTTAGGATTAACCCTTCTGTTACATGAAGTGTATGACATAATCGTGACTTTATACACATATTTGAAAGGGCAGAGGATAATAGATGACTTTGTCATCTTGATGCTCATTCTTTCACTCACTGGTTTGCCTGGGCTTGACTTTAGTAATTTATGCTGATAAAGCTGGAATATTTCTGATTACCGTATTCAACGTAATAAGCGCCCAGGGCGCTCTCAAAATTAGAAATATGGGGGCTCTTATTAGAATATTATTTTGGTGAAAAAAAACAGTTGAAAGATAAATTTCGTTGTTTATGCTGACAGACTAAAATGTTTATGTACGACAGATATATTTTTCAAGAATTGAATTGCCCATAATCAAGGGTGCATATAACACATGAGTGCGTATTATACGCGAATAAATAAATCTTGTGTACATTGATCAATCGGAAGGGGTGCTAATTGGGATTGTTCACTAGCCAATGTATTAGCAAATATCGCAGTGGGCGTTTATTAGAGCGGGGCGCTTATTACGTCGAATACGGTATGCCTATTTAACCTGTAGTCTATATATAGATATATTCCCCACTGTGAAGGAGATATGGTAGATACGTCATGTGACAGTGACCTGTCCACATTGTTATACTAAGTTGACCTCTGCAAGAGGGGACTTCCTGTCTGTAGCCATGGGGCTGTGTGGAGGTTTCTATCACTATGCTCTGCTTCTTGGAATTGTGTTGTGTATGTATTGTAATGATGTCATGCCGTTTCATTTCCGCTGTCATAGTGTTATACGCTCTCTTAGAGGCAACGATTGCATCACCTTGGTGTGTTATCACTGAGTTTGAACAATAATCCTGCTGTCTTTGATGTGGCTAAAGCACTGACTTGTCCTCCCCGTGACCTGGGTTCACCTTCCAACCAGGAGATGGGAGATCCGGCGCTTGGGTTTTGCATACTTTTATCATACCCGACGTTCATCTATTCAGTTACTTGATTGCCTACCCCAATGTAGCTTGAATATTGCTGGCTGTGGCATAAAACAACATTCACTCATTCATTCACTCAAGCAGTAATCGTGCACCGTGCAGCGTCATCCATATGTCTTATTCGTACTTAGTACTCCAACTTTCGCTTGTCATGCCGAAGACCCGGGTTCGATTCCCGACATGGGTACAATGTGTGAAGCCCATTTCTGGTGTCCCCCGCCATGATATTGCTGGAATATTGCTAAAAGCGGCGTAAAACCATACTCACTCACTAGTACTCCAACTTATAAATGCCTCTCAAAGAAGCATGCTCTTGATGTCAATCACTGGATTGTCTGGCCCACAGCTGGACTATTGCTGAGTGCAGCTTTAAACAATAAACAAACAAGCAAACACACAGCTCCCTCACTGATCGTTTGTGTTCCAGCTACCCGGGAGCCCGGCGCTGCATGCCGTGCTGATGAGTACAAATGTCTGACTGGAGACCAGTGCATTCCGTCCAGTTACCAGTGTGATGGAGAGATTGACTGTCAGGACCGTTCGGATGAGATTGGTTGTGGTAAGTGAAATTCTAATGTTCCTTCTATATGTTCACCTGTGGAAAACTGTTACACATGTTATATCTGGGATAACACTTTCTCAGTAAAGTACAGGTTCTAGTACTTTCTTGGGTTGAGTGAGGCACCTAATCGCCAGCACACTATATCAGTGATCTAACCAACTCAGCCACCGAGGCTTCCACAAAAAGGAAAGTCTGACAACTGGCAGTCTAGATCACATACTTTGTGTACCCCTCTGACAAGTGTAAATTGGCACAGCTCCCATGGTCGAAACCTTTGAACACACAATGCCATTTAGAAAGTGATCATAATGTAAGTAAAGTACAGATTCTAGTACTTTTTTGGATTCGAACCTACGCCGCCAGAATGAGGCACCTAGTCGTCAGCACACAAGGTCATATTTCAGATAACAGTCTGTGGAACACTGTCCAAATGTCTGAAATGCCTTAAGACCATATCACTAAAAGTAGCATCAACTATTCTCAGTTGTAATCCTATTTACAACGCTCCATCATGTACTTAGTTCACCTGTGGAACACTGTCTGAAATGCCTGTGGAACACTGTTCATATGTCTGAAATGCCTGTGGAACACTGTTCATATGTCTGAAATGCCTGTGGAACACTGTTCATATGTCTGAAATGCCTGTGGAACACTGTTCATATGTCTGAAATGCCTGTTGAACACTGTTCATATGTCTGAAATGCCTGTGAAACACTGTTCATATGTCTGAAATGCCTGTGGAACACTGTTCATGTGTCTGAAATGCCTGTGGAACACTGTTCATGTGTCTGAAATGCCTGTGGAACACTGTTCATATGTCTGAAATGCCTGTGGAACACTGTTCATATGTCTGAAATGCCTGTGGAACACTGTTCATATGTCTGAAATGCCTGTGGAACACTGTTCATGTGTCTGCCCTACTTACCTCCACAGCTGCACCTACCATCGTGAAGCCGCCAGTTCCCAAGGTCGAGGTCGAGGTCGGAGGCTCCTTCTCCATCGTGTGCGAGGCTGTCGGTGTCCCCACTCCACTCATCGTTTGGCGTCTCAACTGGGGCAACATCCCCACGGGTGAGCGTGTTGTTGTCACGTCTGTTGACGGCCGTGGCAGCCTCACTGTGAATCAAGCTATCCCAGAAGACTCTGGGGCCTACACCTGCGAGGCTCTCAACAACAAAGGCTCCATCTTTGCCGTGCCCGATGCTATCATCATTGTCAGGCGTAAGTTATAATTATAATAATTGGCCATTTTTATTGCGCATATTTCCACACAACTCAGGGGCATGCTCAAAACGCTATTATTACCCCGGTCACCGGATCAGTGTGCCCTCAAAAACTATTCCCAGCTCCCTGGGAAGTATACAACCCAAGCTCCCTGTTAGGCGCAAGAAGGTTAACAGCCATATTGCCATCTCATCTTACCTGGTACCCATTCACTGCTGGGTGAAGAGAGACACATTTCGAACAAATTCACTTTCCCAAGGAGACAGCACATGTTGAACTGTTCTTTAAAAATTATAAAATTCTCAAGTGATTGATTTTCATTGGAACAGTATTTAATTACTTGTAATATTATCCAGGTCTGAAATGGAGAACATTTTATAGTGTCAGTTAAATTTGACCATGTGACTATTTTAAACAAGTCATCCTTCAGGTTTTCGAAAAATTGAAGTTGGTAACTAAGGTTGTCATGGTTACTAGACTCAAGTGAGGTGATGGTGTTTTGAAGTGGACAAGAATAATCTATAACTTTTTTGTTGTTGAAAGAAGTAACTTAGTGTTCTCCTTATATTAACTTACATGCCTCTCATTGGAGTGTTTGTACCCCCAGGTCAAGCTGGCGTGTGTCAGCCGCCAGACTACAATGTTGGCGCCAGACAGATCGGTGAATGTGTTAAGTGCTTCTGCTTCGGACAGACCAAGACATGTTACAGTTCAAATCTGCAGAAATCTCAGGTGAGACTAGTTTGTCTTGATATTGCTGCAAGATTGCTGTCTGTGCTCCTCAGGAAGGCCTTGTTTTGTTAAGGGAACTACAAGTTCTTAAGGCATCCAAATTTTTTTTTATAAAACACAGTCAAGATTTCACCAAACAGAATTATCTCAGATATTCTTGCAAATGATTCTAGACACTGAACAATCTCCTTTATAAAAGTCAATACTCATCAAGGTTGGATTTTTTTCATACACCCCACCCCCTCAATCTTCTTGCATTGTATGTTTACATTTTCTGTTTTGTTGTCAGATCACCCTTGGCAACCAGATCCAGATGGTCCGTCGTGGAGATCTCCTGCCTGTGGAGGACGGATTCATTCAGTTCCTGCCAACATCACGCCAGTTCTCTGTGTCCGACTTCGACCGCGTGTTGCAGCAAGGCAGCTACTACTGGAGTCTCCCCTCCCAGTACCTCGGAAACAGGGTAAGTTTCGACTCTGTGATCGGTCATCAGGTCACTTGAGTCTTCCGTCCCAGTACCTCGGAAATAGGGTAAGTTTCCGCTCTGTGATCGGTCATCCTGTCACTGGAGTCTTCCGTCCCAGTACCTCGGAAATAGGGTAAGTTTCCGCTCTGTGATCGGTCATCAGGTCACTTGAGTCTTCCGTCCCAGTAACTCGGAAACAGGGTAAGTTTCCGCTCTGTGATCGGTCATCACGTCACTGGAGTCTTCCCTCCCAGTACCTCGGAAACAGCGTAAGTTTCGACTCCATGATCAGTCATCAGGTCACTTGAGTCTTCCGTCCCAGTACCTCGGAAATAGGGTAAGTTTCCCCTCCGTGATCGGTCATCACGTCACTGGAGTCTTCCCTCCCAGTACCTCGGAAACAGGGTAAGTTTCGACTCCGTGATCGGTCATCAGGTCACTGGAGTCTTCCGTCCCCGTACATCGGAAACCAGTACTTCGATTATTTTAAGAACGACATTTTATTATAATGGATCATTACCCTCATGTGTTTCCATATCCTAAATATCATATATAGCTATTTAAAAATCTATATCGCACTTACCATACATTAAGCTCTCAAAAGGATCACATATGAAGTATATATATATGACGTTTATGATTCGAAAACAGGCTGAGTCTACATTCTCTCTATATGAACTGTGTGTAATCCCTCCCTCCCTCGTCTGTTACAGCTGACGAGTTACGGAGGCAAACTGAGCTACACCGTCTCCTACAACATCCGCAGCAACTTCCCCCGTCCCACCCAGGACCAGGACGTCATCATCACGGTCAGTGCTGACCTCTGTAGAATGAACCACTGAAGTCTTTATTGGAGCTCTAGAATTGTTTAGTTTATTGACTATCACAACCATTTCTTTACATTTTGAGGCCTTTAGGAGACATTGAACATGATTGGAACAAACTCATTTGTAGTTATTTCCACTTACATGGAAGTTTCGTATATATGAAAATACAGAATCTTTGGTACCGAACAAGAGTTTACATCAGGGATAAGACTCCGTGGTTTTGGCTGACATAGTAAAACCATGGAAGCAGTGAGTGAGTCGGCCTTAATCCGAAGTTTTACTCGCATGTCACTGCTGCACGAAAGTTTTACAGCCATGTAAATGCTGCAGGAAAGTTTTACTCGCCATGTCACTGCTGCAGGAAAGTTTTACTCGCCATGTCACTGCAGCACGAAAGTTGTACTCGCATGTCACTGCTGCACGAAAGTTTTAATATTTGGACCGCCTCTGTGGTCTAGTGGTAGGGGGTCCACCTAGAGAACGGAAAGTCTGAGGTTCGATCCCTGGGCCGCATCATACCGATAAACATGGTAATGGTATGGTAATTGTTGTTGCCCTGCCTGGCGGTCAGCATTAAGGGGCTAAGAGAAGTACTGGTTGGCTCGGAGTCAGTATACTGTGTCTGAGTAGGGTATTCATGTTAAACTGCAGCATGGTATCTCAGTGGGCTAGCACTATAAAATCGGCATAAGTCTGAACTAGTACAAGTAACACACACACACACACACACACACACACACACACACACACACACACACACACACACACACATGTGCATGCACGTCGCTATATGAGTGCATGCACATCGCTATATGAGTGCAATAATCTTGGATGCGACGTTAAACCCCTTTTCACCTCACCTTTATTAATATTTGTTTAATATCATGTAAAAGTGTGTTACGACAGTCTAAAAAAGTGCATGTAAAATATATCTGGCCAGGGAAACATGGTACCTTCTTATGAACCACCTATCTCAAACAAGTTCTGTGGTCCAATGGGTAGTATCTGACTACTAATCAGAAGGTTTTGGGTTCCATTCCCATCGACCATAATGAAAAAAGTTTCAATTGTCATCGGTTTGAAAAAATTGGACGTTTAAAACACTATCGATGCAGAATCCAGCAGTTCCAGTTTTTCATGATTTATCACCTGTATACAACAGTACCACTGCAGTGAATGTTTCTGTTTCTGTTGTCAGGGTAACGGAATCACGCTGTACCACAGAACCGCTGATACTGCTAATGCAGGTGATCCCTTCAGAGTCGACATTCCACTGGTTGAGGTAAGTGGTAGGATTCTGCAGCAAATGAGGGGCCGGTAGGATTCTGCAGCAGATATGGTGTCCGGTAGAGTTCTACAGTGGATAAGGGGCTGGTATTGTTGTTGGATTCTGCAGCAAATGAGGGGCCGGTAGGATTCTGCAGCAGATATGGTGTCCGGTAGAGTTCTACAGTGGATAAGGGGCTGGTATTGTTGTTGGATTCTGCAGCAAATAAGGGGCCGGTAGGATTCTGCAGCAGATATGGGGTCCGGTAGAGTTCTACAGTGGATAAGGGGCTGGTATTGTTGTTGGATTCTGCAGCAAATAAGGGGCTGGTAGGATTCTGCAGCAGATATGGTGTCTGGGAGAGTTCTACAGTTGATAAGGGGCTGGTATTGTTGTTGGATTCTGCAGCAAATAAGGGGCTGGTAGGATTCCACAACAGGTAAAGGGCCCATAGGATTCCACAGTGGGTAAAGGGCCCATAGGATTCCACAGTGGGTAAAGGGCCCATAGGATTCCACAGCAGGTAAAGGGCCCATAGGATTCCACAACAGGTAAAGGGCCCATAGGATTCCACAGTGGGTAAAGGGCCCATAGGATTCCACAGTGGGTAAAGGGCCCATAGGATTCCACAGTGGGTAAAGGGCCCATAGGATTCCACAGTGGGTAAAGGGCCCATAGGATTCCACAACAGGTAAAGGGCCCATAGGATTCCACAGCAGGTAAAGGGCCCATAGGATTCCACAGCAGGTAAAGGGCTGGTAGTCTTTTTAGGCAGATAATGAACTGGTACCGTAATCTAGGTTTGATCCTCCATTAGGGTGCAGTGTCTCAAAGTCATATGCCTGTGCCCCAACTTGCAAGGGTGGAATATTGCTAAAAGCAACATGTAATCTCCCTCACTCACTCAACAAGAGTACTTGTTAACCTGATCTGTATCTGTTCTGTTGACAGTCTGCCTGGGACAAGAGCGACGGCCCACGCCGCGGAGACACCCCCATCTCGGAGTACGCCAATCGCGAGGATCTCATGATGGTGCTGGAGAATGTTACTCGGGTCCTCATCCGAGCCACTTACGATGACCGTCAGTCCACAATCAGGTCAGAGACTTACGATGACTGCTTCTTTCTCACTCACTCTGCCATCAGGTCAGAGACTTACGATGATTGATTCCTTCTCACTCACTCTGCCATCAGGTCATTGACTTACGATGACTGATTCCTTCTCACTCACTCCGCCATCAGGTCATTGACTTACGATGATTGATTCCTTCTCACTCACTCCGCCATCAGGTCATTGACTTACGATGACTGATTCTTTCTCACTCACTCTGCCATCAGGTCAGAGACTAACGAGGACTTAATATGACTCACCCTGTCATTAAGTAGAGACTTACGATGATTGATTCCTTCTCACTCACTCTGCCATCAGGTCATTGACTTACAAGGACTAAATATTACTCACCCTGTCATTAAGTAGAGACTTATGGTGATTGATTCTATTTCACTTACTATACCTTCAGGTCAGACACTTATAATGATTGGGCCGCGTCCCAATCAAACCCAATCAAACCCTCTCATCCAAAACTTAATAAACCAAAACATCAGCCCCAAAAACCAAGCTCTAGCTCGTAAACACCCCTTACTTACCCCAATATCCCAAAGAATAACAAACTACCTAAATGAACACCAAATTAAAAATCTTAAACAAAACTGTAAACAATCAAATATCTTCACCCCTAAACTTAAAATACCCAAAATAGACACAACACTAGCTAGCCAAATAAATAAACAAACCGACCCAAACATAGCTAAAACTACCACACTAGCATACATACACGAAAATTGGCCAAATTGGTGTCACATTTACACGGACGGATCCTCAGATCCGACCTCCAAACACACAGGTTTCGGAGTCCATACCACACAACCAATTAAAACCACACAATCCTTCCGACTCCCAAACAACCAATCAATATTCACGGCAGAACTAATGGGCATGGCCTCAGCCCTCCATAATCAAGAATCCAAAAACCACAAAAAAATCCTAATACTTACCGACTCCCTAAGTGGACTGCAAGCCCTCCAAAACAAAAATACCAAAAACCGACCTAAATTAATAAATCAAATACTTAAAAGCTCCAACGACCTAACTAAGGCAGGCAAACAAATAACCTTCTTGTGGATACCCGCCCACGTAGGAATATACGGTAATGAAAACGCCAAAAAAGCAGCTAAACTATCCCTCAAAATCCCAGAAATAAGCTTAAACTTACCCATCTCAAAATCAGAAATTAAAAGTGTAAACAAGCAAAAAATCACCAAAAAATGGCATAACCTATATCTAAACTCAAATAGCCAAATCAAAAAAGTGCTCAGCAAACCACTAACCAAACCAAAAATTCTCCATCCATCCAAAAAAATCGACAGAGTAATCACTAAACTCCAAACAGGACACACCAACCTAAATAACCACCTAAAAAAAATTAAAAAACACACTACAGGTAACTGCCCACACTGCAAACAACCAGAAACCCCAGAACACGCACTCATCCACTGCACACACTACCTAACACATCGAACCGCATTACAAACCACCCTCAATCTAAACAAGGCTCTAACTCTAGAAGCAATACTAAACCCACAAAATAAACTAGAAAACTTCAAGGCCTTAGGCGTATTCTTAATCAAAACGGAACTAATAAAACGCATCTAAAAACACAATAACTCACCAAATCAAAATCACATAAACAAACAAACATCCACCATACCCAGCTCCCTTAGTTCTCCTCCCCAATCCCATCGGCATCTATTCCAAATCTCAAAATTCCCAAATTCTATATAAGCAACCCCTAAAACCCCCCTCTTGGGTTGCACAGACCACCTTCGCCCCTTTCGGAAACACATTAAATGGCCTGGCCGGGCCCGTGTGCGAAATACGCATCAGTCGGAAAGCGCACGTTAAATCTCCAAAGTAAGTAAGTAAGTAAGTAAGTATAATGATTGAACATCGTTTTTGCCCCTCAGCTAAAGGACTTATGAAAATCTTTTCTCACTCACTCTGCGATTAGGTTAGGATTGCCATACTGTTCCAGATTGTTTAAGGCCCAATAGTGCACAGTGTTGAGCTTCATCACACAACCAGCCAGATTCCATACCCGAAGTGGTGAACGTCTACGACCTCCATAATTTGGACTTATTTCCCACAATATGCTCACCCTATGGTCTGTGTGAAACTTGAACTGCAGTAACAATGACATATGTTGTATTCGTTGTCTTACAGAATCAGCAATGTACTACTGAGCACTGCCGTCTCTCAGGAAACAGGACTTGGCCGTGCTGAGCTTGTGGAAGATTGTACCTGCCCAACAGGATACACTGGACTGTCTTGTCAGGTGAGACTCCAGAAGTCCTGGGTGTGATAGGGGTGTAAGGTGTTGTTGGGGTGGGGTGATGGTGTGATAGGGGTGTGAGGTGTTGTTGGGGTGGGGTGGGTAAGACAAAGGAGAGACTGGAGGGAGGATAGTGCTGGGTGTGATAGGAATGTGGTTGGCATGGGGTGGGTAAGACAAAGGAGAGACTGGAGGGAGGGTAGTGCTGTATGTGTTAGGGGTGTGGTTGGGGTGGGTAAGACAAAGGAGAGACTGGAGGGAGAGTAGTGCTGTGTGTGTTAGGGGTGTGGTTGGGGTGGGTAAGACAAAGGAGAGACTGGAGGGAGGGTAGTGCTGTATGTGTTAGGGGTGTGGTTGGCGTGGGGTGGGTAAGACAAAGGAGAGACTGGAGGGAGGATAGTGCTGTATGTGTCAGGGGTGTGGTTGGCATGGGGTGGGTAAGACAAAGGAGAGACTGGAGGGAGGGTAGTGCTGTATGTGTCAGGGGTGTGGTTGGCGTGGGGTGGGTAAGACAAAGGAGAGACTGGAGGGAGGGTAGTGCTGGGTGTGATAGGAATGTGGTTGGCATGGGGTGGGTAAGACAAAGGAGAGACTGGAGGGAGGGTAGTGCTGTGTGTGATGTGGGAAAAGGGCTGAGAGAAGAGAATGAGGAATGGAAAAGTCAGAAGGAAATGAAAAAGATTGGAAAGGTCTGGTTGGGGAAATCATCCTCATGTTCCTTACAAGATGAAGTAGATAATGAGTTGATTGAAATTTCTTTTTGTCAGGTGTGTGCCGCTGGGTTCTATCGTGTGAGTCGGGGGCGCTACCTCGGTGAGTGTCTGCCCTGCCAGTGCAACGGCCACTCCAACGACTGTGACCCTATCAGTGGGGAATGCAAGGTGAGTAGAAAACGGATTGTCTCACATTTCGCTGAATCATCAAATTTCATGGTTCAAAGGATATTTTCCGCCTCCGTGGCCTAGTTGATAGAGAGTCTTCCTAGATAGAGAAAGGTCGGTGGTTCTATCACCAGACACGTAATACCAAAATATGTTAAATAGTACTTGTTGTTACCTTGCCTTGCGTTCGGCAATAAGGGGATAAAACAAGGACTGGTCGGCTTGAAGTCAGTACACTGTATCTGAGTTGGATATCCATGTTAAACAGTGGCATGGTATCTCAGCACTATCATACAGGCATTAGTCCGGGCTAGTACAAGCAGCCACACACACATGCATGCGTGTCACTATGTCACTGCAACAACCTTGAACACAACGTTAAGCCCCTTTTCACCTCACTTATGATAAACGTTTACATTCATAGAGTGCAAGTAAGATCCCATACGATTTAGCATTTAAGAAACAGATTATAAGAGTATATTTGGGATATGACAAACTTACATCGGTGTATGACAAACTTACATCGGCTGTAGTAGTTGATTATTTGTCGTTAGTTGTATCATCATGTATTTTTTTAGTGAAGTATACCTTAGAAAAGCTGCATTTAGTTCCATCTTTTTCGATTTCAAAATGTATCTGGATGTGTATTACAAACCTATTGTGCCATCAACTGTATACTATTTCCTTGACAACTTGAAACAAACGTGCTATTATATACTACTTGCTTCACAACTACCAGAACTGCCAACACAACACCGAGGGACCCCTGTGTAACCTGTGCATGGAAGGAACAGTTGGAGAAGCCACACGAGGAACTGCCAATGACTGTGAACCCTGCCCATGTCCTCTTACCATCCCATCCAATCAGTGAGTTATCTACATGTCATGTGACTGGAGAACAGTTCTGACCAATCAGAAAGTAGTCAAAATGCCATGTATCTTTAGAAACACCCCATCCAATCACTAAGTCATCTATATGTCATGTGACTGGAGAACAGTTCTGACCAATCAGAAAGTAGTCAAAATGCCATGTATCTTTAGAAACACCCCATCCAATCACTAAGTCATCTATATGTCATGTGACTGGAGGACAATTATGACCAATCAGAAAGTAGTCAAAATATCATGTTATTTTAAACACCCCATCCAATCAGTAAGTCATCTGTAGTTCAAGTGACAATTCTGACCAATCAGATAGGTGTGTTAAGTTAAGTCATGACATGTCATGTCATGTCAAACTATCTTAAGTGATTTCAGGTATTGTCATGTTTGTTATGTCATTTTATGAAAATTGCATCTTTGTCAGGATATACCGTATTCGACGTAATAAGCGCCCAGGGCGCTCTCAAAATTAGAAATAGGGGGCTCCTATTAGAATATTATTTTGGTGAAAAAAACAGAGTTAAAGGATAAATTTCGTGGTTTATGCTGACAGCCTGAAATGTTTATATACGACAGATATATTTTTCCAGAATTTAATTGCCCATGATTAAGGGTGCATATAACACACGAGTGTGTATCATACACGAATAAATAAGTTTTGTGTACATTGATCAATCGGAAGGGGTGCTAATTGGGATTGTTCACTAGCCAATATGTTAGCAAATATCGCCGTGGGCGCTTATTACGTTGAATACGGTAGTTTCAATTCATCCTTCATCTAGGTTCAGCCGTACATGCGTGAGAGACAACGCTGGTATTCGCTGCACCGCCTGCCCACCGGGCTACACCGGCCGACAGTGTGAGACCTGCGCCCGAGGTTACCGTGGCAACCCCAGCATCCCTGGAAGGTCCTGCAAGCAAGAGAATAGTAAGTCATGTATTCTACACGATAGCTGTGTGTAAACACTATGCAGAGAATATATGATAATGTTGGCTGAAAAAGAGATTTCAAAGTAAGAATGTGCATAGGTTGCTGCAGACCTATATTCTTATCTGGAATGAGAGAGTAATGAGACTGATAACCTCCAACGCCTAATATGACTGTGAACCCTGCCCATGTCCTTTTACCATCCCATCCAATCAGTGAGCCATCTATGTGTCATGTGACAATTCTGACCAATCAGAAAGTAGTCAAAATGCCCTGTATCTTCCGAAACACCCCATTCAATCAGTGATATATAAGCTTGGGCTGTATACTCCCAAGGAAGCTGAGAATGAAAATTGAGTGCTCACTGATCCATTGCATGGGGTAATAATGTCGTGCTTTAAGCATGTGTAAAAAGTGGATTCAGTGAGTGTGTGAGTGAGTTGGGTTTAACGCCGCTTTTAACAGTATTACAGTTATATCACGGCGTGTGAGCTTAATGTGGGAGGAAAGCCTGAAGTGATGCAGGTCTCAGACGTTTACCACTTCGGTGAAACCCACGAGCATGGGTATGGTGCTGACAAACCTGGAACCATGATCAGGGCGAACCGGGATTCGAACCCACAATCATAGGTTTCTGGCGTGCCTAAGGGACACAACTCTGCACAGCGAATCGCGGCACCTTAGATGAATGTGCCACCCGTGCCCCCGGATTCAGAGCATTATGATGATACACATTATCATGTTTCAGTTGAGACTGGATGTGACCCCAGGGGCAGTCTCTCCACCTCCCCCAACATTGACACCGAACGCTGCAGTTGTCGGGTAAGTGGCAGTACTTTCTACTGAAAACCAATGTTAACAGGCAATACGTTAATTGGTTCATACACTGAACAAAAAAGTTCGGGGTCATGAGTATTTTTAGAACTGAAGACTGAACAAACAATTTTATGAAAATACCCCAAAACTTCTTTTTGTTCAGTATATATTAGGGTTGGGATGGGTAACTTGGGTACTCGGGTCGGGTGGTCCTGAGTAGGATCCGGGTACCTACAGAACTACCCGGACCCATGGTTAGTCACGTGATATATTGTTTAATGACAAAAACTCACTATAGCTCAGTGGTTAAACTACATGTTCGCATTTCTTTCTGACGTTACACCCATTTCTTTTGACTTGTATATGTTTGAGCAAAGATAAAGCTTCAGTCAACTTCAGTGTACACATGATCTGATTGTTTGATGCATGTACCTAAATAGTTTTGGCCAGGGCTGCGATAAGACAATCGCCTTTCAGACATTTTGTTCCCAACTCTTAAGACCTACAGTGGGTACCCGGGTAGGGTGGGGTAATAGGGGGTCGGGTACACGGGTAGTAAATTGGACTCGTCCCAGCCCAAGTATATATCCTTTGAGCCATGGAAATGGAATCAATAAGATATGAAAACACAAAGTTTTGTCCGACTGTCCGACAAATGAAACACGCTAAATGAACACATGGCAACATACTCAGGTGTTTGAAGACCAAGAAAAATGTGTCATCTTATTTCTGTTTTCCCAGCAGATTTGTGGACTAGAAAACTAAAAAATAAGACAAATCTGACCTTGCATATTTGTTGAAAAGAAAACTGCGTTTTCAGGCTCATCTCCCTGTGTCCATGTAGGACTAACTGAGGACTAGTGAGTGAGTGAGTTTTAACAGTATTACAGTTATATCGCGGCGTGTCAGCTTATTGTGGGAGGAAAGCCCGTAGTGATGCGGTGAAACCCACGAGCACGGGTATGGTGTTGACAAACCTAGAAACATAATCGGGGCGAACCGGGATTCGAACCCACAGTCATAGGTTTCTGGCGTGCCCAAGGGACACAACTCTGCACAGCGAATCGCGGCGCCTTAGCTACTGGGCCACCCGTGCCCCCAACTGAGGACTAATTAACTTGTTTGTGTTATTGCAGCCCAATGTGATCGGCAACACTTGCAACCAGTGTAAGCCAGAGACGTACTACTTGTCACAGAACTACCCCTTCGGATGCATCGCCTGCTTCTGTATGGGCGTCACTCAGATGTGCACCAGCACCTCCTGGAACAGAGCACAGGTGGGTAGCTAGGTTATAACTGCAGCATACACTCAGTCAAGTATAATACAGAGCACAGGTGGGTAGCTTGGTTATAACTGCAGCATACACTCAGTCAAGTATAAGACAGAGCTCAGGTGGGTAGCTAGGCTATAACTGCTGTATACACTCAGTCAAGTATAAGACAGAGCTCAGGTGGGTAGCTAGGTTATAACTGCAGCATACACTCAGTCAAGTATAAGACAGAGCACAGGTGGGTAGCTAGGTTATAACTGCAGCATACACTCAGTCAAGTATAAGACAGAGCTCAGGTGGGTAGCTAGGCTATAACTGCTGTATACACTCAGTCAAGTATAAGACAGAGCTCAGGTGGGTAGCTAGGTTATAACTGCAGCATACACTCAGTCAAGTATAAGACAGAGCTCAGGTGGGTAGCCAGGTTATAACTGCTGTATATACTCAGTCAAGTATAAGACAGAGCTCAGGTGGGTAGCTAGGCTATAACTGCAGCATACACTCAGTCAAGTATAAGACAGAGCTCAGGTGGGTAGCTAGGTTATAACTGCTGTATACACTCAGTCAAGTATAAGACAGAGCTCAGGTGGGTAGCCCGGCTATAACTGCTGTATACACTCAGTCAAGTATAAGACAGAGCTCAGGTGGGTAGCCAGGTTATAACTGCTGTATACACTCAGGCAAGTATAAGACAGCTCAGGTGGGTAGCCAGGCTATAACTGCTGTATACACTCAGTCAAGTATAAGACAGAGCTCAGGTGGGTAGCTAGGCTATAACTGCTGTATACACTCAGTCAAGTATAAGACAGAGCTGAGGTGGGTAGCCCGGCTATAACTGCTGTATACACTCAGTCAAGTATAAGATATTCTAGCCATGTTTATATCAGAGTTCATCCAGGCAGGTAACTGCCCTTTAACTGCTATATATACTCAGTCAAGTATCAGATATTCCAGCCATGTTTATAATGTAATGGTAACATTTTATGAAAGTGATGATAGTCCAGTGCACATTTAATAAGTATTTTTAATGACATGTTGTTTGTGTGTCGGCCAGATTGGAGTGTCCTTCACTCAGGATCGTATGGGCGTCAGCCTGACAGACATGATGAGGAAGGAGAAGATCGAACAGGGATTCACCGTCAACCGCAACTCTCGTGAGCTGACATACCGTGGATTCAACAACCTCAGGGAGAACATCTACTACTGGAGTCTACCTCAGCGTTTCCTTGGTGACAAGGTAAGGGAGGGAACTGCTGTGGTTAGCTCATCAGGTCAATGTACGGTATCACAATATTGATAGTTAGTCTCCAGGGGAATAGGTTTAATATCTGTTATTTCAAATGTGAGATATTTCAACCTATTTGGTTGTATTAATGAGTTCAGAAAATTTCTGGATTTTCGAGTGTATTCAAGAAAGGTGAAACATGGAAACAGACTGTGCTTTTAAAAGTATTTTGAATCAGTCATACAGCCGTAACAGTTGTTTTGTGTCAAGCTTTAGGAGTTGCATGATGAGAAAATATATTCCGCTACCAACATAACATAACAATATATTTCATTTTTCATTTTTCCTATTACAACGTGTTTGTATCATTTTGTATCGTGTAGTTGTCCCATTTTCGATCACGACGGGACTTGACTATAAAGAGTCAAGTGATTTATCCAACTTATGCCATGTCATATTGATGTATTATTTCTCTAAGATTTTGCATAATGTCCTATAGTTGTGTAGTTTTTACACATTCAGCTTGGCCAGCAAGTTCCTGGCTCAGAATCAACTGCAACAACGATAGATGATATCATCACAATGGTTCAGTTTATGAAAAAGACTTGTATTTTATCATATTGAGATGTGCTTGTCACCTTCAGTTTTCGTTTAACTACAGTCAACTTTTTGTACAAAATGCAAGCACAAGAGATTTATGAACCTTATTGTCCACTTTTGAAGAAAGAAAAATGCCCAATATTCTCCGTGTGTATTTGTGAATCCTGAAACCTGTGCCAGTATATTTCATGAATGTATTCCTCCCACTCAGGTGACAGCCTACGGAGGATACCTGCGCTTCACACTGAGATACCGTCCGGGTCAGGACAGCACCCCCATTTCTCTGGAGGAGCCCATTGTCGAGATCTCTGTGAGTTGTTTCACGTTTTGGAGACCTTGGTTAGAATAGGTTGCCTGTTGTTAGAAGTGAGGGACTAAGGTTTGAATAGGTCCCCTAGGTACTGAGGTGAGGGGCAAGAGTTAGAATAGGTACTGAGGTGAGGGGCTAAGGTTAGAATAGGTACTGAGGTGAGGGGCTAAGGTTAGAATAGGTACTGAGGTGAGGGGCTAAGGTTAGAATAGGTACTGAGGTGAGGGGCAAGGGTTAGAATAGGTACTGAAGTGAGGGGCTAAGGTTAGAATAGGTACTGAAGTGAGGGGCTAAGGTTAGAATAGGTACTGAGGTGAGGGGCTAAGGTTAGAATAGGTACTGAGGTGAGGGGCTAAGGTTAGAATAGGTACTGAAGTGAGGGGCTAAGGTTAGAATAGGTACTGAAGTGAGGGGCTAAGGTTAGAATAGGTACTGAAGTGAGGGGCTAAGGTTAGAATAGGTACTGAAGTGAGGGGCTAAGGTTAGAATAGGTACTGAGGTGAGGGGCAAGGGTTAGAATAGGTACTGAGGTGAGGGGCTAAGGTTAGAATAGGTACTGAGGTGAGGGGCTAAGGTTAGAATAGGTCCCCTAGGTACTGAGGTGAGGGGCAAGGGTGAGAATAGGTACTGAGGTGAGGGGGAAGGGTTGGAATCGGTACCGAGGTGAGGGGCAAGGGGCACCGATCAGAAATAATTAAGATGTTAAGAGTTAAGAACAACAACTGCTGTCAATATTAATAATAATTAAAACCTGTTGAAAAATGATCTTAAAAACTGCTTTACATTTTGAGGAAATTAAGAAACATTTATTTGAAACTGGAATATATTTGTGATATTACTTTGACCTACTGACCTGAATTGGCTTCTCGAAAATCTATAAATCCAAGAGAGAAAAATGTCTGGCCTAAATTGCATCAAGTGGTCAGGCACTGTGACTTGGTTGATTGCGTGTATCAACTGCTGGGTTGTGTGGCCCAGATTGATGTGATATGATCAAATTTGGTCCTCATTCAGCATGGAATGTTCAGGGAGTCAGCTGTCTAAGGTGCCACAATTTGCTTGGAAGAGTTGTGTCCCTTTGGCGTGCCAGAATCCCAACTCACTCATTGATTAATAAATAATGCTGCTGTGCCATGTTTCCAGGGAAATGACATCACGCTGGTGTATCGTGCTGACCGGGAACAGTTCCAGGCTAACTCCAGACAGTCCTTCCAGATTCCCATGTATGAGGTATGAACTTACACCCTGTAATGGTGCAGTGTCGCAGTCCTTAAGATTCCCATGTATGAGGTATGAACTTACACCCTGTATTGGTGCAGTGTCGCAGTCCTTACGATTCCCATGTATGAGCAGGGATTTATCGAGAACTGCTCAGGGGCCAATTTGTCTGTAGCAAATTCCTCAGAAATTACAAAAATTTGAACATTAAAAAAATCCAATTTGAATATCAAGATTTTTAACCAATTTGCCTGTCAAGGACACCTAGTTTGAATCCTAGATAAATCCTTGTATGAGGTACACACAAACCTCCTGTACCCAATCTCAGATCCACTACTGCCATTCATTGATCGTGTCCATTGTTGTGAAGAAGGCAAGAACCGTCTGTGACAGTTGCGTTACTGATCGCTTCTCTATTTCAGCAACAATGGTACCGTCTGGATGGTGAACAAGCTATGAGGGAGTTCTTGTTGATGGCCCTTGCCGACCTTGACTACATCCTCATCCGAGGAACATACTCCGAATCCACTGACGAGGCTGCGTATGTACTATTGGATTATACAGCTCTTTGTTTAATTTACATCAAAGAGGTCCTGAATTTTTTTGTTCTAATTTAATACAAACCTTCTAACAAGTTGAGAAAAAATTTTCTTCAAATTAAGTGCAGCATTTCAATATTTCTTCTCAAAATGCGTCATTTATTATTATAAAAAGTGGTGGCTATGTTTAGTTTATAAGAAAATAGAAACTTCTGTTTTTGGTCAGGGGGCGGTCGGGTAGCCTAGTGGTTAAAGCGTTCTCTCGTCACGCCGAAGATCCGGGTTCGATTCCCGACATGGGTACAATGTGTGAAGCCCATTTCTGGTGTCCCCCGCCGTGATATTGCTGGAATATTGCTAAAAGCGGCGTAAAACCATATTCACTCACTCACTCTGTTTTGGGCAGAAAGTTACTGTCCTGTCTTGGTGTTTCTTTCAGAATAAGTGACATCTCTCTGGACATCGCGGAGAGCCGGCAGACACGACAGGATCGGGCGTACGCTGTGGAGCAGTGCAGCTGTCCCCGTGGCTACAAAGGCTTGTCCTGTGAGGTACGGACGTTTGCTGCTCTACCTCTGAGTTATTCCCTGCCACAGAGTATCAAAGAAAACAACCAGATACAACATGATTTTATTGAACCGTTGACAACGAGAGGGATGTGTCCTCTGCTGCTGTCTTTCCTTCCAGAACGCATTGGGGCGGTCGGGTAGCCTAGTGGTTAAAGCGTTCGCTCGTCACGCCGAAGACCCGGGTTCGATTCCCGACATGGGTACAATGTGTGAAGCCCATTTCTGGTGTCCCCCGCCGTGATATTGCTGGAATATTGCTAAAAGCGGCGTAAAACCAAACTCACTCACTCACTCCAGAACGCATTGTGCACAGGTATACTGGACAAAATAAGTTAAGGATCATGAATATTTGTGGGTATTTTAATGAAATTGTGTGCTCAGTCTTCACTGCAAGAACACATCCCCCAAATATTCATGCCCCCTTACATTGTTGTTCAGTATGTATACTTTAGTACTGATTTTGAAGGTTTCTGCTGTCAAATTATATACTGAGTCATATCATGGATGCCAATATATGTAAGCATATTCAGTATCAGTGTGAGGCTCTGAGTTTTGCATCTCATGATGTTGAATTTTGCATCCGCAAATTTTGAATTTAGCATCAGCAACTGTTGAATTTTGCATCTGCGGATGTTGAATTTTGCATCTGTGAATGTTGAATTTTGCATTTGCGAATGTTGAATTTTGCATCTGCAGGTGTTGAATTTTGCATTTGTGAATGCAGAATTTTGCATGTGCGGGTGTTGAATTTTACATTTAGAGGTGTTATTTTTATGTTAAAGAACATTCCCGATCACATCTGTCTTTTTCATATCATACAAGATTGACATGTAGACATGTCCCCTGTTTGTTTCAGGACTGTGACACTGGCTACACCAGGTCCGGAGGCGGCCTCTACCTTGGACTCTGTGTTCCCTGTCAATGTAACGGACACTCCGGGCAGTGCGACCCAGAATCCGGCATCTGCAGGGTCGGTACCATTGATCATCTCCACTGGAAATACTGTATTCAACGTAATAAGTGCCCTGCTCTAATAAGCGCCCACGGCGATATTTGCTAATATATTGGCTAGTGAACAGTTCAATCCCAATTATCACCCCTTCCAATTGTTCAATGTACACAAGACTTACTTATTTGTGTATAATACGTGTGTTATATGCATCCTTAATTATGGGAAATTAAATTCTGGAAAAATATATCTGTTTTATAAAAACATTTCAGACTGTCAGCATAAACCACGAAATTTACGATCTTTCAACTCTGTTGTTTTTCACCAAAATAATATTCTAATAAGAGCACCCTATTTCTAATTTTGAGAGCACCCTGGGCGCTTATTATGTCGAATACGGTAGTCATTTTGTACAAGAGAACTTTAAACTGCTGTCATATTTGTCAAGATGCTGATTTATTAGTTCAAGGAATAGTTCTGTAGTGAGTAGATGGCTAGTTGGTCTTACATCTTTAATGACAACCTTGTGTAACTAGGCTACACCATCTGGCGCCTGTTCCAAGGATAGATCTAGATGGAATTAGTATTTTATGTGGGAACAAACAAACATTTAATTAAGAAATGACTTTAATTTTTTTGGTATTAAATGTAAACATTACGTCTGCTGTGCAAAGGGCAGCAGCATAGCCTAGTGGTTTGAGCAAAGGGCAGCAGCATAGCCTAGTGGTTTGAGCAAAGGGCAGCAGCATAGCCTAGTGGTTTGAGCAAAGGGCAGCAGCATAGCCTAGTGGTTTGAGCGTTGGCTCGATCATCACGCCGAAGGCCCGGGTATGATTCCACACTTGGGTACAATGTGTGGATCCCATTTTTCTGTGTCCCTTGTTGTGATATTGCTGGAATATTGCTGGAATATTGGTAACAGCGGCATAAAGCCATACTAACTCACACACACTGCTGTGCACAATAAAACTGTTGTACATAGCGATCTTAGCGCTAAGGTGATCATAACACCCATACCTCAACACAGACTTACGACAGCACCAGCACCATGAAATACTGTTCACAGCAGCGTGAACCCTCCCTCACTCACTCCCTCACTCACTCCCTCACTCACTCCCTCACTCACTCACTCACTCACTCACACCCTCACTCACGCCCTCACTCACTCACGCCCTCACTCACTCCCTCACTCACTCCCTCACTCACTCCCTCACTCACTCACTCCCTCACTCACTCCCTCACTCACTCCCTCACTCACGCCCTCACTCACTCCCTCACTCCCTCCCTCACTCTCTCCCTCACTCATTCACTCACTCACCATAATGTGGTTATTGTTTCCCCTTCAGAACTGCCAACATAACACCGAGGGAGAGAACTGCCAGAGATGTGTTGCTGGTTTCTATGGCGACGCCTCACGTGGATCTGTCAACGACTGTCAGAAGTGTCCTTGCCCCCTCACAGAGAGGCCCAACCAGTGAGTACCTTGATGTTTGATATTTAGGTCCCCCCAAATACTATACGTTTCCTGTTTGACAGAGGCCCAACCAGTGAGTACCTTGATATTTGATATTTAGGTCCCCCCAAATACTATAGGTTTCCTGTTTGACAGAGGCCCAACCAGTGAGTACCTTGATATTTGATATTTAGGTCCTCCCAAATACTATAGGTTTTCTGTTTGACAGAGGCCCAACCAGTGAGTACCTTGATTTTTTATATTTAGGCACCCCCAAATACTATAGGTTTTCTGTTTGACAGAGGCCCAACCAGTGAGTACCTTGATATTTGATATTTAGGTCCCCCCAAATACTATAGGTTTCCTGTTTGACAGAGGCCCAACCAGTGAGTACCTTGATATTTGATATTTAGGTCCCCCAAATACTATAGGTTTCCTGTTTGACAGAGGCCCAACCATTGAGTACCTTGATATTTGATATTTAGGTCCCCCAAATACTATAGGTTTCCTGTTTGACAGAGGCCCAACCAGTGAGTACCTTGATATTTGATATTTAGATCCCCCAAATACTATAGGTTTCCTGTTTGACAGAGGCCCAACCAGTGAGTACCTTGATATTTGATATTTAGGTCCCCCAAATACTATAGGTTTCCTGTTTGACAGAGGCCCAACCATTGAGTACCTTGATATTTGATATTTAGGTCCCCCAAATACTATAGGTTTCCTGTTTGACAGAGGCCCAACCAGTGAGTACCTTGATATTTGATATTTAGGTCCCCCAAATACTATAGGTTTCCTGTTTGACAGAGGCCCAACCAGTGAGTACCTTGATATTTGATATTTAGGTCCCCCAAATACTATAGGTTTCCTGTTTGACAGAGGCCCAACCAGTGAGTACCTTGATATTTGATATTTAGGTCCCCCAAATACTATAGGTTTCCTGTTTGACAGAGGCCCAACCAGTGAGTACCTTGATATTTGATATTTAGGTCCCCCAAATACTATAGGTTTCCTGTTTGACAGAGGCCCAACCAGTGAGTACCTTGATATTTGATATTTAGGTCCCCCAAATACTATAGGTTTCCTGTTTGACAGAGGCCCAACCAGTGAGTACCTTGATATTTGATACTTAGGTCCCCCAAATAGTCTGTAGTCATACAAACTGACAGTAATATTTTACCTGCATTTACTCTACATGCGATTTTCTTCCCGGACAGGTCTTTGTCTTTGTGTCGAGAGATAATTTCATTCTTATTACATACACTACATTATTTTACAAGTGGTTAATGGTACAAAGGCCACAAGTTGACAGAGACTGGTGTACTGCACTTGTATCCAAGTATATTCATTATTAAAGTTAGTCATGGACATCAGTTTAGTTAGGACGTTGGTTTATTAGAAAATATATATGTTTCATGTTTTAGGTGGTGTAGATAGGCTATCTTTTTTTCTTTTTTTTTATTTTTAAATTATTTTTTTATAATATATATTTATTTATTCATTCATTCATTCATTCATTCATTCATTCATTCATTCATTCATCCATCCATTCATTCATTATTTTATTTTATTTTATTTTATTTTATTTTATTTTATTTTATTTTATTATTTATTTATTTTATTTTATTTTTGGGGGGAGGGGGAGGGGGGATTGTACTTCTTCCTTTTCTTTAAATTATTGGTTTATCTAAAGTGAATATATAGTGAAGGACAACCATTTTATGCTGGTGACTTAAACACAAACAGGATGGTGATAAAAGTTGTAACTTGAAAGCCCAGGCTTTAGATTGAGGTAGGTTTTGAGGACAGAAACACAAGTTGGGGCCTTATGGCAATTATGTATGTCAATTAGAAAACTCATCTGTCAGTACTTTCCTCTTCTTACCAAAGTGGCCCAACTCTAAAGTGGTTCCTTAAATCCCTCTAGGGATTTTGGAGCTGTCAAAGTAATTGAACGATTCTTTTTCACCATATTGCATTGCCCAAGAAGAGCCAACTCAGCAAATTGAATTGATTCTTGTAATGTGTTCACTTTAAGGGAGCTGTTCTACTGCTTTATGTTGGTTAGAATTTATTCCTCTTGTTTTGAGACACCCACACACCAGCACATCAAGGAAGTGTTTCAACTAGCACTATCCTTCTTGCAGTTCATCTCATTTTGCCTACAAAAATGATGCATGTTGTTGATTGTAAAAGATACAGACTGACCTCACAAAGTGATCGTAGTGAGGTAACTCCCATACATTGTCGACCGCCTCCGTGGTCTAGTAGTAGAGCGTCAGCCAGGAGAGCGGAAGGCCCGGGGTTTGAAACCCGTGTCTTACCAAAAGATGTTAAAAGATGGTACTTGTTGTTGCCCTGTCTGGCGCTCGACATTAAGGGGCTAAACAAGGACTGGTTGGTACGGAGTCATTATACTGTGTCTGAGGTATTCATGTTCACACACACACACACACACACACACACACACACACACACACACACACACACACACACACACGTGCATGTACGTTGCTATATAAGTGCAATAATCTTGGACGCGACGTTGACCCCCATTTCACCTTACCTCACCCCAATGCACTGTCACAGACTTGCGATAGTCGTAGCACTAAGATCGCTAAGATTACCTTGTGGAACAGACAGGGGTGAGAGGGATATCTAAAAAAATTATGTTCAAAATCGCTCTTTCTGTAAAGGGAGGTAATATTTTAATATCGTTACCTAATGGGCTGACATTCCTTCTGTCGTGGGGAGGGTATTGAAAAACTACTTCAAGATGTGTGAGAATAACATATGAACATTAGAATTATTTATTGCCTTGAGCTGAAAAATCCCTGAAAACCCCCAATTTGCCAGGTGGAAAACATGCCCTACCCCTAAACTGAATTAAGATTTGTATCTGACATCAAATTTTTGTAGTGCTCCCTAAGTTATTAAAACTTAAAAAGTGGTGAAATTTTGCCCTTAAAATGTTGATTAAGGTAATTTATCAGTGGGTAGTCATCACATTGAATTTCCTGTTCTTTGAAGGCTACTGTTAGCTGTTCTTCCTGTAGTTGCATTTCACCCAAACCCTGTACTGATCCTTATAGCCCATAGGGGATTTAAGGGCAGAATAGGTGCCCAGCAGGTGCTTGTTGTGAGCTGGCTACACTGAGGACAGGTTGACCTCCATGTATGACCAGGGCAGAATAGGTGCCCAGCAGGTGCTTGTTGTGAGCTGGCTACACTGAGGACAGGTTGACCTCCATGTATGACCAGGGCAGAATAGGTGCCCAGCAGGTGCTTGTTGTGAGCTGGCTACACTGAGGACAGGTTGACCTCCATGTATGACCAGGGCAGAATAGGTGCCCAGCAGGTGCTTGTTGTGAGCTGGCTACACTGAGGACAGGTTGACCTCCATGTATGACCAGGGCAGAATAGGTGCCCAGCAGGTGCTTGTTGTGAGCTGGCTTCACTGAGGACAGGTTGACCTCAATGTAAGACCAGGGTCATTATGTGTCACCATTCTAGGATGTGGAATGTTTCTCATGCTATTGACCATTGACTGTCTCAGATACGACTGTCACAGAAACGACTGTCTCAGATACGACTGTCTCAGATACGACTGTCACAGATATGACTGTCACAGATACGACCCTCTCACAGATACGACTGTCTCAGATATGACTGTCACAGATACAACTGTCTCAGATATGATTGTCACAGATACGACTGTCACAGATACAACAGTTACAGATCGACTGTCACAGATACGTCTGTCTCAGATATGACTGTCACAGATACGATTGTCACAGATACAACAGTTACAGATACGACTGTCTTAGATACGACTGTCACAGATACGACTGTCTCAGATACGACAGTCACAGATACGACTGTCACAGATACGACAGTAACAGAAACAACAGTTACAGATATGACTGTCACAGATATGACAGTCACAGATACAACTGTCTCAGATATGACTGTCACAGATACGACTGTCACAGATGCAACAGTCACAGATATGACTCTCACAGATATGACTGTCACAGATACGTCTGTGAAAGATACGACAGTCACAGATACAACGGTTACAGATATGACTGTCACAGATACGACTGTCACAGATACAACAGTCACAGATACGACTGTAACAGATACAACAGTTACAGATATGACTGTCTCAGATACGACTGTCACAGATATGGCTGTCTCAGATACATCTGTCTCAGATACAACAGTCACAGATATGACTGTCACAGATATGATTGTCACAGATACAACTGTCTCAGATACGTCTGTCACAGATACGACAGTCACAGATATGACTGTCTCAGATATGACTGTCACAGATATGACTGTCACAGATATGACTGTCACAGATACGTCTGTCACAGATACGACAGTCACAGATATGACTGTCTCAGATACGACAGTTACAGATATGACTGTCTCAGATATGACTGTCTCAGATACGTCTGTCACAGATACGACAGTCACAGATATGACTGTCTCAGATACGACAGTTACAGATATGACTGTCTCAGATATGACTGTCTCAGATACGTCTGTCACAGATACGACAGTCACAGATATGACTGTCTCAGATATGACTGTCACAGATACGACTGGCACAGATATGACTCAGATACGACAGTTACAGATATGACTAACACAGATAAGTCTGTCACAAATACGACAGTCACAGATATGACTGTCACAGATATGACTGTCACAGATACGTCTGTCACAGATACGACAGTTACAGATATGACTCTCACAGATATGACTCTCACAGATACGACTGTCACAGATATGACTCTCACAGATACGACTGTCACAGATGCAACAGTCACAGATATGACTCTCACAGATATGACTGTCACAGATACGTCTGTCACAGATACGACAGTTACAGATATGACTCTCACAGATACGACTGTCACAGATGCAACAGTCACAGATATGACTCTCACAGATATGACTGTCAGTTCCAAGCAGGACATGCAGGTCACCATGACATGGAGAATCTGCTG